TGACCTAAAGTGAACTTACAGTCTGGAGGCTAATTAGTCTATGCTTTGTTTAGTAGTGTTATACTTGCTTGCCATTAGATAAAATGCAGGAAAAACATTTCTGTTCAAAATAACCCTTCAGATATGTTTAAAAGTGCTGCTTAAAAATAGTAAAATTGACCTTACAATACACAGAAAAAGAAAAGTTTCTGACAAACTGAAATGGTGTAAGTTACAAGGATTAATTACTTCAGTATGTTACATGTACTTGTGCCCTCTTTACTGAGCTGATTCCCAAGTAATCATCCTAATGGAACATATGCAATAATTGGAAACCAGTAAAAGCCTCCAGAGAACTTTCAACAATGGGACAAAAAAAGAGCAGCTTCTTTCTCCCCAGCTGTTGAAACACAGTCCAGAAACAAAAATGACTATTCCATTATTGCAAATGCAGTCTACTGTCAAACCAGGTCAGTTCATGAACTGTGGAACCGGGACTGCCAATGGCTCCTCTGCAGCAGGAAATGTCCACTGGGCTTCCTAACTACCATATAAATACACTAGTTACATGCAATTAAAATAATACACATATCACTAGAATCAAAATGCCTGTAATACATAGCTATACTGGGGCAAAGTAGGTTTTAAGCTTTAACTTCTCCAAACACCTTGTTCATATTCTGGAAATCTATGCAAAATACAAAAGCCTTAGAAAAGTGCAACAAAACTAGCTTCATGACATTTTTCTTTCCACTTCCATAAATACAATCTCATAAAAATATTATTAAACAGAAGCATACTTCCCAGTGGAGAACAAATGTGCCACATTTCAGCTTTGAGTAAGGGATTTTGGCTAAACTGAAACCCCCTGAAAATAGGGGATTAAAATGAAACCAGCTTAACTGCATCAGGCTGCCATAACACTCTACCAAAAGTTTACCCTACAGTTTTGCATCCACAAGTCCTGCTGGAACTGGCTGGAACTTTATGGGCAACTCTGTGGCAGACAGTGGCATAACAGTAAAGAATATTCCAAGTAAAAGCTAAGCTAATGTCAGTTGGAAGAAGTCATCCTGTAGTCATTGGTTTTACTGAAGTTTCAGTGTAGAGGAAAAAACTCTATTATTTCAGAATGAATGAACTGAAGGAGACGAGGACAGAGGCCTCGTCAAACTGAGTTCAAGGGTGCTGCATCCCAACAACTGGCAAGCACAAATACATAAGGAAAAAAGGACACTTGTATCAACACGTTAACAGAAATTAGAACTGTACAAACCTTGATCTTTTAAGTTACTTTAAATAATTACCAAAAGCATAGTTGCTACATATTCCAGATGCTTAACATCTTGGCTTTGACAATTAAGAGTACTACAACACTGATACCGAAATCAGGGAATACAACAGAAAAACCATACATGAATGAAGGACTGGGAATGCTCAGCAGGCCAGACAGCAATTTAAACCCCATCCAGCCACTCTCCTTTGAAGGCAGAAACACTGTGAGAGCAACCTTTCTAAACAAGGACAATTAAACATACATTAGAGATGTCTGTAAACTCTTAACTCATCTAAGGAGTTGATAACCTGGGGGCAAGAACACCTGATGGACATCCTGGGATGATGTAGGCTGTATGAGAGATAAAGAAGTCATGAGAGAGTTGAGCAGCTCTAACATGTTTCGCCAAGCAACACAACAGGAAAGCACTTTACGCTTGGGAAGGCACAATGGCATGTCCAGAACTTGTGGATGACAACTACACTTCAATACCAGTTCTCTCCACATCATTTTTCAAAGTGATTAATATTACTGAGCATTCAGACACTAATGCTAGCTTAATGGAAGGAATTCCAGAAATAGAGCTTGGCAGAACATAAAAATAAACCAGGAATAAGTATTTACAAAGTCAAGGGAAGGATCACAACCAAAGTATATAGGCAAATCAGCCTGTACATGGACACTAGTACTTTAAATCCTCTCTCTTAGGCCACCTCAGCAAGAGCAGTACTCACAGTAGGCAAAACCATAGTGTAAAGGTGTACAACTGGATTCCTTCCCAGAAGAATTCAGCCCCTTATCAGCTCTTGCTTGATGCAGCCTGCAGTTAAGCTGTGATTGTATTAGTTGCAAGAGGCAAATAAGAAGTCCTCACATGAACACAGTTTTAAAGGCTTAACTTTAGCCTGTGCATAGCTTCACACCAGCTGTCCAGAGGGGGCAACTTTGGAAGATACAGTCATGCACCACCTGAAACCAGACAGCATTTCCAAACCAGTCCCAAGCAGAGCACAGAAAGAAAAACACCTATAAGTTCCCAAATAACTTTGTTTAAAACAAAGCTATAATGAAATTTGTACATTGGACCAAAACTGTACAGCAACACAGAGAACTGAGTACAAGTAACTTTTTGATGATGGAAAAGATGCAATAGAATCCAAATGTCTCAAGTGTTGAATCAGGGAACTGAAAAAAGAATAGGTAAAAACTTAACATTGATATCATTAACAGAAATGAGATGCCAATGAGAACTTTGTGTCACAGCTACAAAATTCTTAAGGCAGGCCCTCAGCACTTCAAACTACTGTACTGCAAGCAACAGCCAAAGTGATTTCTCCTTAGGCATGTAAATCCAGAATGTGACCGCTGCCAGTGATATTAATGCGAGTTTACACCTACACATTAAAGCTGAGTTCATTTAGCTCTGATATGATGATGGGCTTTACAGAAAAACACAAACAGTGGAAGCATTTTACAAAATTGGAGACAAAAAAATATCAGAAATGCTACATGTAAATTCAGGAATATATTTTATGCAAAAGAGAAAAGAATTACTTTTAAATCAGAATATGCTGTAATTGAATACAATATTCTGGATAACAATCCAGAAACACAATTCTCAAAGGGAAAATTTCACTCACCATTTTTCAGAGGCATGAGAATGAGAGGTCTTTATGAGGGCCAGAGAGTCACACCAGAGATACTAAACTAGTGTTTCTATTTAAGTAGACAACCAAATCAAACTGGATCAAACAAAACCAACTGAAAACCAAATCAAATGTAATCCACTCTGAAGTCATACCAGTTGGTTACTGTTAGATATTCCATATCAAAACTTCTCCAACAGCATTTTCCTGAATAACCCAAGTTAAGTTTTTCCTCCCACCCATTCTTCATTGGTAAAGAAAATCCCACCAACGTTCATTCAGTTCGTTCCTACTAATCTTGCATGAGGATGACAACTAGCCAAACCAAATCCACATTTGGCTGTGAACTGACCTCTCTGGTCTATGGAAGTGTTTCAGTAAACAGGATCAAAAGATGATACAGCTGTATCTGCAGCAATATGCTCCATTTTATTGCCCACCCCACCCCTACAGCTGGCAATGAGTAACCCTGATATGCTACAGCACAGGCATTTGCAAGGCACATATTAAAATGCAGTAACATAAATTGATGATAAAATATTTGTCCTTTTTCTAGTACATTCAGAAATATTTTCTGGATTAGAAAGAAAGGAAAGTAAATCAGCATAAACTTACACTTCAGATGTACAAAAAAACCCATGCTGTTTCACGATTAACTATGAATAGGAACCAAACAGAACAGTACCATCGTGTCCAGAAGGACTACAGCTATTCTTCCTCTTGAAAAACTGAATGCAGTTTGGGCCTTCAGAAAAAGAATGTTGTAGAGTGCAGCAGAATGCTTGTTTTGGATCTCCCATTGCCTCATTACTTCCACTTGGACAGCAGCTGTGCAGCACCTTCTATGTAAAGGCTCAGATAATATCATTATAGAAAACACTCTTCATGAAGCCCAATATTCCTTTACAGAGGCTTATCAGACAAATTAAGAAGAAGTTTACAGAGCTCTGAAGTTGAAAACAAGGTAATGTTTTTAATTCTTTTTCCTCTCTCCCTATGAAGACTAGCAATTCATCTTTTTAACAGAAAGTATCTGGGAAATGTGATTTCCCCTTTTACAAATGATGACACTGTTAGTGTTTCAGTTAAGGACTAATAGAGCATACCAAGAAATGAAGTTGACTATTGGACAGGAAAAAAATCAGCTTAAAGCTCCAATTACCTTAAGAAAACAGGTCATGGGTGAATTTAGACCAAGAAATGCTTTTCTTTTTCATTAGAAGAATATTTTCTTCAAATCAAAAGCAACGAGTAAGACAATCATAGGTAAGGAAGTCTGTCCAGAGGATGAATAGAAAGATTTTTGAACACAAATAGGCAAAACCTAGAATTTATTAGTAGGAGATGGACTGTGAGACAGCAATAATATGCATTTCCAATAAGACTATTCTTATTGAAACTTACTGGAAGAAATCAAGTAACAATTTTTGAAGACATATATGGGAGAGGAATTTGTATTTCAGACTTTTATTAGAATCTGTTAATGAAGATTTTTCTCTTGAAGCCTCTCTTTCAACAACTGACTTTATATTACATTTGCTCTTGAAATGCACTAATGAATCATCTCTGGGTATTTAGCTACTTTTAGGGTACCAAAGAACTGTAAGTGTGTATGAGACACTGCTGCTCTGAAAACTTCTCCCAAGTCCTTCAGCATGGATTAAGTAGTTATGTTGCAACTTTTCATAATTTTCACAGGCACATATCAGTGTAAGCACGTATTTTTACACAACGCTAGCTGCTAGAGACATGCTGAATTGTTACTCTTCACATGGGCTGTTCTTCAGATGATAGATTTTTGGATTTGGCAATAATACTGAGTTAAATCTGTGCTTTTATACCATGATGAAGTTTCACAGATGCCAAGCACAGTTGCATTCACTGCGCTAACATCCTTAACAGTCATAAGAGCACCACAGGAATGGCAGATTCATTTTCTTTGTAACAGGGTTACTGTGTTGAAAGAGCATGTGCTTATAAATAGCAGTTGTTACAGAACTCGCTTCTAAAGTAGGCTTCTGCTCAATATTAATGAGAGATGTTCAAGTGTGGATTAATTGCTGATAAGTATTCAGAAAAATAACAGGCAGAAGCAATGATAGAGTGAAGTCTTCCCTCGATTTGACAAACAAGATTACAACAAACAGCTTATTACAAATGGCTATATGAAATCATTCTGAGCTATTAACATTCCACACAAGGCCCTGAAGTGCCAGGATTTATCAATTCAATGATCACTAAGGCACTTACTTGAACTCTTTTGCCCAAGAACTGTTACATGAATTCAGGTACATTTTAGGAAAATAGAAGTTGAGCAGACGAAAGTTTCTCAGTTCCTTCCTTGTGACAGTGAGTCATTTCCACGCAATATTCAAGACTACTGGGTGTATACACATTACATCAGTTCCTCCATAGTTCCTGTCAGAGAATGTCTCACCTTCTGTCAGACAGATGAGGATGTGCAAGATCAACAAAAACCACACAGAAAACATGGCAAAGATGGATTTTGAGACAAACTACTTCATTGTTACATCTTATTGAAAATATCTTCTCTTCAGAGAAATGCTATCCCAGTTCCAAAATTCTGTCACAGAAATCCATGATGTATGTTCATATTGCTGTAAAGCCTGGGGTAGCTGTGTGTGCTACACAAAGGAGAACCAGCGGAAAGAACAAGCCATGCAAGGGTTAATTATTGTTTCATTTCTGTTACAATGGAAGCACAGGGAGTTTGGAAAGATTCCTTGAAATACAGCATGCCCGGAAAACCAGGAGCTGTGTGTGCTAGTCCTTATAATCCATAAAGTTGGAAGCCACATAGCTGTGACAGAGGTAGGCTTATAATGAAGCTTTAGAATGAAGAGTTCTGTGCCAAATTTTTCGAGGTATTGAGAGCACTTTTCCACTCAATTTGTCATTAGGAATAAAAGCTTGTTTTCCTAGAGCATTGTGCACATTTAAAAGGAGGGAAAATAGCTGTAAAGGCAATAATTAAATTACCATCAAGAACTCTACTGTATTGGGGTGCCATATGCTGTTGATAGAATATTCTAAGATGCTACAGAAAGTTCAGTAATATGATGCCATGTTATCCTTTTCCTTCTCAAAGCTTTATCTTTGCTATATGCTATAGGATCCATTCATCTCACTCTCCTAGGAAAGAAAGCTCCAGGAAGTCTGGCTGGAAAGGCAGCACATAAGTAGTCCAGGCTCTTTAGGCTACATAATTAATGTGAATAGCTTAACAACTTGGGTTATTCCAAGCACTGTGGCAACAAGTTCTTGCTTTTAAACACCTATTTCCAGGCTTAGTAGCTGAAGCATTCTGAGGCAATCCAGCATAGCGTCACTGAAGTTTGAGGGGACTCAAATGTTGCCAGTTTTCAGTGAAACAGGGATTAGCATTCAGTAAGGTTTCCATCTGGTACTCATGTTGGTTCTATCCCATGGATCTGTTGCATTATTATGGTTTCAGGTTTCAAAGTATTTGTAAATTGCTGTAACATACAGCATGACATTCTGCCAGTCCGGACGCTCAGTTCGCACCATTTCATTGATGTCCTGTCACAGAAAAGAGATTGGTCAAAACCAGGAATGACAGCCTTGTGAGTTACGTGGTAGTGTTTTTAGAAATTCCTGCGAATGGTAAATCTGTCAAGTCTCCACAATTTAAAGCACTGATGAAAGCTCTGTTTTCTTCCATAGATCTTTGTATTGCTAAGAAAAGGTAAACAGCTATGAATACTGTATTTGTAAATAGGTATTTTCTTGACTTAAGATTGAAATGTCTAATGCTGTGCATGCAGGAGTTGTCCCCCACTTTGTACAACAATACAGTAGTCAAGACTTTAGTGTTCACATACCCCCTACACCAGCCTCCAAGTCAATGCAACCTACCTAGAAACTGTGAGCATAGAATCAAGGCTCAGAAATTAACTGAAACTAAAGTTACTATCAGGGTAAGAGTCTTCAATAAAGAACTGAATCCCTTTTTACAGCAGACTACTGAACTTTTGATTTGAGTAAAGATGCAAGGAAGAAGAAAGTTTCCTACCAATTTGGGTATATCCGAGAGACTAAGCCATGGGTTCGTGTCTAACTGGTCGGCCAGTTCACACATGTTTCATGGTAACAGTCCAGCAGACTGTCAGTGAATGAGCAGCATAAACAAAGCCTGATCTATCCTTTTCAGCACATGTACAAGGGAAAACAGAGTGATGTAGTTTCTAACAATTTTTGTTTACTGTAAGGTTCTGGTTTGTTACCTTTGGGTCCAAGAACCTCCAGAGCTCAGAAAGAGAAAGTAGTTATTTTATTTACCACAAGGAAGTAACTAAACACTTTCTTACTCAGGAAGCAAATAACTTCCCCTTACATTACCACTACTGTTTAGATACAGGAGTCTTCACACCCTTTTTCACCCTTCACCCATCGACAAAGAAAAATAAAAAATCCACAAATATACATGGTACACACTGCATACGTAGGTATGAAAAAGAAACTAAATCCTTACGATGGATATAATTTGCACTTAGAAGATGTAATTCTATTCACTTTGCCTTTTTAGAGCATCTGTAATTATGTACATGACAAAATGAAAGGACAGACAGTAAACATTTAGACTGAAGATGAATTATGCAAGAACTGCGGCAGTTATTTTCCACAATCTAGTTCTTACATCAGCACTTTGTGAGAAACTTCCATGTTTCAAATCACTGACAATGCCCAAGTACGAAAGCCCAACAGTTGCACTGCCATTGTCAGCAAATACAATCCTGGGGGACAAAAGCGCTGATAAGGATCAAGGCAAGTGTTATCTTGAAAGATGCGTGACTTTGTTGTATTATTAGTTGCCAACTATGGCAGCTCTGTTAGAATTCAGGTTACAGAAGTATCAGTTCAGTATCATTTCTGATACTGGCAATTTTAGCTGGGAGGCTCCTAATTCCGTACCTTCAGATAGCTTCCTTTTCTAGTACTGTTGAAGTCTAGTACCGCCTAGTACTACACTGTTGAAAACTAATTCTTTTAAGCTTCTATTTGTATAAGAAAGCTTATTATAAACAGTAATTCTTGCAAAAGCTTACAATTATTTACAATGATGACAAATTAAAAGTCTAAACTTGAGAAGTAAATTCTGACTTTCATATTACACTGACTAAAAGAACAAATTACGTAGCTTGATTTCTACCCCCAGAATCCCAAAAAAGCCAAATCATTTGAAAGTAGGTCAGAGACAGGAGAGAATTAATGAATTCTTGAAGACTGTATCATATAACTATTTCTCAAATACATTGCCTTTAGTATTATTTCTTATGGTACTGAGAGATGAGTTTTGGTGAATCTTCCTTTTATACCTCAAGAGTTTATATGTTATAGGCCATCAGCTTTTTTTTGCTATCAGCTGCTTTTGCTGCAGCTGTTGCTGGACTACAGGTCTGTATCTCAGCCACTATTTAATGCAAAAACCATGTAAAGCTTAAGTTATTGATGACAGTGGGTTTATTAAACAAAGCCACTGGGATAGGGAGTATCTTTTATGTTTTTCACTCAAGCATGACACAGGGGCAACAGCCACTAGCTGAGCTCATCTGCTGCTATTTTTAAGTATAAAGCAATAAAATGTTTCAAAAGTACAAAATAGAATAATTTGATTTCTATAAATGGGTCATCATTTATTCAGTATGCATTTAAAACTTACCAGAGTAGATTTGATGCCAACACTTTCAGCTGCCTGAAAAGCCAAAGTGAAATTTCTTCTCTGTTAGAACACAACATAAAAACATGTTAGAAGACAAGGAAGTATTCCTTAAAGCATAATAAAGTGGTGTTACGAATTTTCATAGTAATGCTGCTACTTTTGCTTCAAATGGAGTTTGTTATTTGGACATGGAAAATTTGTATTAATTCCTTATTCAGAAGACTGTGCTGAAAAATTACCTCCAGGGAAGAATGAGCTAAAAATCCTAAAGAATTTTTTTAAGGCTGCATTATCATTAATAATACATCTCCAGGTAACACACCATTAGGTACTAACTATAACACACCAGAACACAGACAACTGCAGTCTTGACATCTTCTAGTTTACCTTTATTTGATACTACCACTTGAGAAGAGTATGAGAAAGTAGGATGAAACAACATCCTTGTGATATTGAAAGAAATGAACAAAACATGTCAAAAATCAAATTTGATGGATTTAAAATCTTTAAGCTTAGGCACTCCTTGCTTCAAAAACCTGACCTGAAAACACTTTCCAAGTGTTTGGGTTAAATAAAATGCCTCAGACTTAAATTTATGAACTTTTAATGTTTGTTTGTTTGTTATATCTGTTCCAAAGTTTTGTTTAACCCAATGTTCCCATAATATTAAAAGCTTATAACAAGAGTAGCATCGAGGTAGTTTGAAGTGTTTAAATTATGAACCCTAGTAACATTGGTTATTTTTAAAACTCAAATGTGGTCATTCTTCTTTATTAATTCTCATTAATGATACAGTCTCACAGTCCCAGGAAATGGATTTTTAATATCTTACCTTGTCCTGGCTATTTAGTTCTTGATAGGGAATATGGGCTGGGAGGTAAGTATGGAGGACTGCACAGAAAGCCAAACCATCATTCCAGCTACTGCTGAAGTTTGTTATGTCGATATTCTTGAAGGGGAAAAAAAAATATAAACAACATTAAAATCATAACCTAGCAAGTGTTAGTTATACCAATCCACCAATAGTTGTGGGGATTGGTTGGTTGCTTGTTTTTTTAAAATACCTTTGAAGAAATCAACAGAGAAAGTGAACAATCTAATACTGAAATTCAGGGGTAAGAAAACAAAATGCACTGCTACAGAGATCAACAAAAAAATTGGAGTTATAAGAAAGTCAATTACTGCAATCCTGCATTCTTCATTATTCAGTTCCAGTAGAAAACTCAGTGGCACTGGTAAAACACACCTCCAGAGACTGTGCTCATGACTGTAAAAAGTCATCCCAGTCCAGCAGAGTTCTGAAGATGCCTCTGTGACCTGCTAAGTTACTGTATGCTTGGCTGTTGGCAGTCAAACAGTGGTAAAGAGGCTAAGTGGACGGCAGTCTGTTTAAATTTTAACTGAGAAACAACCAGTAATAACAACTCACAGTTTACCTTTCAGACTTTTATGGAGAAATATAACTACTCTTTTAACATCTAACTCGGCTGGGCTTAAGCAGACACTAACCAGTTCCCCTGTTCAGTTTTTTATGTAGCAGGAACTACAACCTTCAGCCACAGAACTGCAGAAACACAATGACACAAGTCAGCGATTCATCTGAGAGCCATTTAATCATCATCACCTGTCTTTGACAAGACACAAGAACTCCTCACTCCTAATGCAGAAAACTCCACACAGAGTTGGTATTACTGTGCCACGCTGGCTGAGAACCAAGGCAGTTGTATTTCTTGTCAAAGCAATGATTTGGATTACAAATGGAAAACAACAGAGGGAAAAAACAAAACTCAAGAATGTCTCCATTTCCTGCTCAGCTTTAGCACTTTTTATACAAAGTCCACCAAACACAGGTTGGAGCGTACGTGCTGAGGCTCACAATGCCCAGGGCAGTGGTCTGAGCCTCGCCGGCCGTGCCGCTGCCTGCCTGCAGACGGAAATGTCATTGTTGGAGACCCCCAGTCTGTGGGAACGTGTTCCTCACACAGCTTCCTCAAGCCACAGGGATGGGAAAATGTAACAGCAAAAGGAAAAAAAAAAAGCAGCTCTCCCTCCTTTCTCCTCAAGAGAGACAGGAAATTGGGTTTAAACTAATGCTTGGTTAAAAGTTTTTCAGTGTGACTTAAATAGGCAAACAAATGCAACACGGTACAAGGCTTTAAGGAAAAAAAGGGGAAAAACACGAGATTTTTTAGAGCCAGTAAATTCCTACTTGTGCCTGCTTACAAAAAAACTTTTCAGAAAACTCTCTCTCCCTAGCCTGTAGATCACATCTGGACCACTAGGATGGATAAAGGTAGGGAGAGTGCTTTTTCTTGTCACAGTCATCTGTGGCAAGCTAGTTAGAAAGAAATCAAATGTGAATGGCCATGTTTCCTTTGCTACACAACCTACTGAGGGAGAAAAAACTTTGATCCTGGGTTTCACCCCTTGGGTGAAAGTCTCCCTCCTTCCCCAGGATGGGAGAGTGATGTGGAAAAGGGAGGAGAAAGAGGTCCGTTGGCATTGTCACAGCTAAATTAAACACAGATCTGCTCAGACATAAATGCATGCATTGAGCCAACTATAAAGAAATACTAAAATCATACTAGTTAAAGCTACTGGAGAGCATTAGCAAATATTTAAGTCTCAAGACTACAAGGATAGATCTGACATTCCTTATTACAGTAAGGAGGAATGCTGAAGCATTGCTGAATCTTGTTAACAGTTTTTAACCCATCAATTTCCAATCTGGTGAACTGATGTTGGATATTGCTTCAGCAAGTACCTGTTGAATTGGTATTATTGCAGCATATATTCTATTTACCATAGACCACGAGTCCATTAAAGCCAGTCAGCAGTCACTACAAATAAAATGAAGTTTGATAGTACCTTGTCTCACAAAGCTTACAATGGCTTTTCTCTCCCAGGTTATTTATCGGAAACTTTAGTAACAGCTTGAGCCTAAACACCAGCATCACTGAAGCACAGACAAGATCTCGGTATAAAAACAGGGATGGAAGGGCACACAGCTGCAATGTGAGAACAATAGCTTCTATTGGAAATGAGCACAGAAAAAGGAGAAGCAACCAATGCAATGCTGTTGAAGCTATGAGCTGGTATAGCGATCTCTACAACAGTTATTAGGATGGACATCAACAGGTAAGAATGCAATCATCAAAATTAGAAAACAGGATGCTGCAATGATGTGTGTGAGATCATAAGAACTACACCTGAGGTTTGACGCTGTGGATGAAGAAGGAAGACTTGTGCTCAGAGTATATGAAGAAAAACATCGCAAGGTATCAAAACAGTCTGGATGCACTAAAAAATAGACCTACAGAACTACTCGGGCTGAAGAGAACTCTTCACTTGATGTAAAAACCAGGATTGCTTACCTCTAAAATCTAGAGACCTTTTTTATATTTCTGTTAAGTATATTCCCTCATCCCCACACATGAGCAAGAAAAACAGGATAAAGTTGTGATAAAAATGACAGATTAAACTAAACCAAGAGAAAGTCATCTTCCCTCACACGTTATGGTTGTATAAACTAAAAAAATGAAAAACCCAAGAAAAACCCCAAACCCACTTTAAATATTAGCAGTATCCATACAATGTTGAACTTTGAATGGGGAAAAAGGGCACTTTATAAAGTTAACCTACAAATTTGGTTGTTTCTCAAAAAGAGCTCGGAATACCCTGTTTTTCTAAATCTTCTTGGAGGGTCCAGCTTTTATTATTAAGACAACAAGCAGAAAACAAACCCATCATCCAAGAAGCTTAATGTATCCAGAGAAGCCCAATTAAATACAACGGAAGGAAACAATTAAAAGGGACTGGTTTCTGTTTCCAATTGCTCTGAGCATTATGAATTATTATTACCTCTCAGACTAAAAAAAGTATAATATTGGTCAGACATTAAAAAACAAATCTAGAAACTGGACAGATTGTAATTTAAACTGAAAATTTAATTTTTTAAGGAGGGCTTTGAGCACAAAACTGGCACATTTAAATACAGCACAATTTCATTTCCCAAATGCTTTTAACTACTTGTGGTTTTCTGAAAAAGCCTGGGCAGTATAATGAAATCAATCTTGCATTAAGCTCTTATTTCTCAAGGAATTGACGGTAAACAGAACATCAGCCTAAAATCTCTGACATAATTTCTTCTTTACTGCTTTTATTAAGTAATTGGCTCTATTAAGAGAATTCTGCTGGAATCTAATCTGGAATTTTTCTTCAAGCCATTTCAGACCGCAAAGTATTAAAGCAATGGAAGGACATACTTTCAGATAAATTGTCAAATGAGGAATAAGCCTTTCTAGAGATAGGTGAACTGGAAGGAGAGTTATCAATCCTTGTCAATGTTTAATACTTCAGAGGGCAGTGAAGTCACTTCTTGTACATTGGAGAGATTGTTTTTAAAAAGGCAATTCTAACAAAAGGAGTTGAGCAAGTGGCTGTTGTCACAAGATCATCTGTGGAAGACATTTTCCAATCAGGAATAAAAACAGTCAAACATTTGTAAGATTTTAGTTCTAGAGGCAAGAGCACAAGAAGATAACAATTTACATAACCAAACAGACCAAATGCTACAGTCCATTCTACAGCCTTGATAAAGAGGAGAGAAAAAGATGGTAGGCAATACCCTGGTGGATCCACAACCAACAGACATTTCAAGCACGACTCAAGCTCCTATTAAATTGCAAAGTGCAGAGTAGGAGCAGGCACCACGAAATGAGCAGCCCCTTAAGCCACATATTAAGAAAGAGTAAGAAGATTCTTTCTGAAACAAGGCTGAAATGTAATGGGAACAACAACTGAAAAAAAAAAAAATCCATCAGGGTAGGCTGGAATATAATAGTGGTTAAACAGTAAATGAACTGCATTTGAACATGAATCAGAAATGCATCCTTGCAGCAAAGAAGGCAATCTGTATCCTGAGGGCATCACTAAAAGTACAGCCAGCAGAAGGAGGGCTGGGATTCTTACATTTTACTGTACCCTGGTCAGTCTACACCTCAAATACCATATAAAGCTTTGGTCCCCTCAGTTTAAAATAGTCAGTGAAGAATAAAACATGGGTCCAGCAGAGTTATCAAGATGATTAGATGGTTAGAGAACACAACAAATGAAGAAAGGGTGATGGAATTTGGTTTATTCAGCCTAAAGAAGATTTAGGAGAGTTGTAATCAGAGTATTCCAATGCCTAAAAGGCAGTTATAGAGGAGGTGGAGGTAGTCTCTTCACAAGGACACATGGTGACATGACAAGATGCAACAGGAATAATTTTTTTCCTGGAAAATTCTGGAATTTCTGTCCATATATAATAAAGTCCTCACTGTGAAACAACAAAGTGTTGTAATAGTTTGCCCAGACAGTGGAAGACTCTCCTGCAGTAGAAACATTCTAGACTGCTTAACAGGGCTGTGTATAACAGGGCTCTTGCAACCTATGACTTTTCTAGAATTCGTAATTTTAAAGTGTTTTTAACCAGTGTAATGCTAACTTTGAAATTGTTTCCTCTCGCTTTTTGCAATGATCCTGAATTAACTGAGGGCCTTCTACAGTCAGTGAAAATAACCTTTTTTTTTTAAAAAAAAGGCAAGAAACAACTATTAACTGTTCTAACCCAGTGAGTCAACCCTTGCTCCAACCCGAAAACTCCACAGCTAAAACCCTGCAAACATCAAAAACCCCAACTACAGAAGATGTAGTTTCTAACTTGCAGTTCCAAGTGAAGAACAAAGCTATGTGAACTATCACTTCAGCAGACACATCCACAGCTGTCTTCAATTTCCCTGAACTATGTATATTACAATCAGAGCAGAGGCACATACTGCATAGCAGCTATTTGTCCATGCCTTGCTCTGCACAAGAAGAAGAGGTTCCCACATCTTAACTCAGTTTGGCTGCGAAATGAGTTAGGACATGGAGAAAATAAAAACATGTGTCTATGTCTCTGTTGTATTGGTTAACAAAATAAGCAGGCTGAGAAAGCAAAAGCATTGATATGATTTGGTACTATAATATATATTAAAACCATTAAAACAAGATTTGAGGTGTAATTGTACAGACCTTGGCAGGCTTCTTCACATGGCAGAAAATTACTACTAAAAAGCTTGTAAAGACATATACACACACACAAAAGTATCCACTAAAAAAATTACAAAAATAAAACTACAAAATAACTGCTATCCACGCTCCACTGAATCAGGATTCAATGATTCTCAAGTCACGGATTTAAGTCGAGGCTATCAGTACTTCTGGCAGTAGGCAAGAATGTAGAAGTATTTCTGCAACAGATTAAAGAGCAGTCCCAACTACTGCCTCTTCAATCCTAGCTTTTGAAAAGGCAGTAATAGGCAAACTATCAAAACCCTTAAATATTGACTGTTAAAACTTCTTTCCATCCCGAAGACATGTTACTTTTCAGTTTTGGCACAAAAAAAAAACAACAATAAAAGGAGCGGTCATACTCGAAAGACCCCAATAATAGCTTCAGACATTAACATGCGAAGCACTTACAGAGATACAGACAGCCTCATAATTTATTCTAAATATTGTCATAATTAAGTCTAACTAGTTGACATTTCTCTTGTATTAGAATTCAATCCAAACAGAAAAAGGAAGCATGTCCTTCCTTAACTCAACAATTTTTGGCTAAAGCATCAGAGCTTAAACCAAGGAGAGAAGTGTTTTGGCAGCCTAACTACTTAGATGAATCAATCAGACAGCACCAGGGACATCATGCACACCATGGAGTCATTATTTGAACACAGGCTGACATAAGCACACACTCTTGGCCTCTTTTAGTGCTTTTAAAGAAAAACAATATAATACTCGGAGTAGAATACAGTCTTGCTCAGTGTTGTTAGAAACGTGTATATAAGAACAGGCTTCAAAAAAGGCAACCCAAACCATCTTTTAACTTTAGCTTTGTTATTCTACACTTATTACCTGAGTACAAATGAACCGTTGCTTGATTTCAAGGTGCATTCAGCATAGCATTAGGTATACATACATTCCTATCCGATCACATTGCTCAGTCACTAACAATTTTATTGTTTATTGTTGCCATGTAGATCGTAAGTTTTAAAGTTTTAGTAAGACATGTAGCGTTGGAGGTACAGGAGGTAAAAATTAGGTGGTCTTTCCATAAAAAAAGCAGCATTGCATGAATTAGAGGACAGGTACCACAAGGTCTTCCAGAGTATCTGTAATTAGGAAGCGTGGAAAGTGTAAAGAAAGGTTAAAACTGCCTAATTTAGTCTATTCTTGCTGCTATCTTGAACAATTGAATTTTGGTTTCAGAATGTTGGAAGTGAATTATATCTCTGAATGCTGACAAAAAATGGAAACTAAATTGAAATACTGCTATAGATAAGAATGGGTGAGGATGCGCATATCCTGTTTATTAGTCCCCTTCGTAACGTGCAACACGCATGCTCACACCCTTTTTCGTATTTTTATTAGTTGCATAGTCAAAATGAAAGTAGCTGAATTCCAGCTAGGGTATATGCTCTGTAACAGCTAGATGGAATTACTTTATGCTTTGAAGACATCTGGAATTTATGATAGTTTTATGACACTGCACATACTTTAGGGAGCCAGGAGGATTCTATTCTCTCTGGAAAACACAGCACTTGGCACTGTGCTCTGAATCAGTATGTCAGACCCTGAGCAAAGCTAACACGTTATCAGATTGCAAGTGTTTTGTCCCTGTTCATCTGAACCCTAAAGGTGACTCCTCCTTTATCTAAATTCTTAAAAACCCCACCCTTATCTTAAGAGAGCAGCTCTCCTCTTTCATGGCTGAGGAATCTGTTCAGCCCTGAATATAATTACACTCAGTAACTTAGTGACTGCAAGACTGTCTAGACTGAACAGGCTCTAAATGAAAGTTAATACAGAACCTGCCTGCTATTAGTTCTTTAATGACCTTCTGCAGATCACCATTCTCCACCCTAAGCTTCAAGGAGAAATTCTGCTTGCAAAAAACATTCAGACAGCAGGTCTACTAAAAGCAACAATGTAGTAAGCCATCCAGTTTTTTGTATCAGGAAGAATTTCTCTTGTTTTCATGGCTATTTTAACCTTATTCTTTTATTGAGGTACTCTTCAAAAAATACCAGATTTGGAACACAGTTAAATATTGTTTAACAACTACATTTCAAAAAATCTGTCCATTTATTCCCTTCCAAATTTGCCTGAATAAATCAAGTAAACGGCACAATGAAGTCATTCATTATATTTTTTTCAACAGGATTATATATTAGCTTCTTTATCATAATGCCTCATAAGAGAAATTCTCTCATAAGAGAAAGTCTTAAGACACCTTTAAAAATTGTGCTGTGTGTAACTACGTATTTGTCAGAGGTGGAAATATGAATAGGACACAATTAACAAAAGCACTATTCTCAAACAAAACCCTTCTAAGACTTCCTTTTTATTGTTTCCAAGCTATGGTTAAGCTTTTCTAGGTCATTTTAGAACTTGTTACAGACTCAATTTGCAAGTATTTTTCCTTTAACCTGTTACTTTTATAAGTAAGTAAGTAAGTAATAGCTAACTGATTTAAATTGGTAATAGGACAGAAATTGGTGACTAGATAGAAACTGGACCTACTGCTATTCCTACAGAGAAAAAGGCTGGAATATTTAGGACTTGTCTGTTCTGTGTGGCTCATGCAGCAGCTCAAAAGACAGTCAGCTGGTCAGTCAGCATGCAGGTAGGTCTAAAAAGCATGTGCTAGCTCTGGCTCAGATGCTAAGGCAAACACAAATGAACACTGGTATAAAGAAAAGTAGAAGTTACAATGATGGGAAATGCTGGGAATAAAAGGAAACTGTGGCAGAGTCTAAGACATGAGGAGGAGCTGGAGGTAAGAAAAGGTACCCTGTCAATATCTGGGTGACAGGGAAGGAGGAAGAGAGCTTGAGTACCTTAAATAGAATTGAATGAGGGAGATATTCATTATTCTGATGCTTGCTCACTGCTTGCTGGGTTTGAATCCATGTAGTTTTAAAATAAAATTCAAACTAAGTGAAGCTTCAATTAAAAAAAAGTTAATCCTTGTCTGGTATTGATGGTATTTCTGAGATGCCAGAAAGCTGGATAAACACTATTCACAGTGAATGTAATGCTGGAAATGTTTGAAACATTCGGACACTTATAACACGGTCCTCAGCCAGAACTGAATTTTGGGGGATGCTGAAAATAATCAAATTCAGTACAACACAGAAATGAAAAAAAGCGACTGTGCCTAAAGCAAAAAGCATTCTTCTCCAAAAAATAACTTCATGTAACCTGCTGATGTTAATCATAGTCATTCAAAAGAAGGCCTGCGTTGGCTTCTACAGATGCTGTATGCTATGGTTTCTCAGTAGCAATACAAGCAGAGAACCATAGTGCAGTTGTTGAAGCAAGTAAAGTAAGCCTCAAAACCTATTCGTCTATTAAATGTTTGTAAAACTCAAGTAGTTAGAAGCAGCAATCTACAGAAACAAAAGCATGCTCTTGCATGTACAAACAACTACAGAATGAAAAGTCTGGAATACTTTATTTTAGAGATAAGAAAGCTGTCAAAGTCATCTTTCGTTTCAAGACAATATGGGAAAATATTTTTGCATTTAGTTTTAGAGGATTTATAGAGAAATATAACATCCTGCCTTTTTTAAAATGTGGGGAAGGAGAAAGGCTCTTTCCACAAAGAAGCTTATCCTCAGAAATAGCACAGTTTAGAGCTAGACGTGCCACAGGAAAAGGGGGGGAGGGCTTATACCACAAGCCTGTCCATTGTACTGAAAGATGACTTTTCCTATGGATGGGCGATCATCCTGTTATGTGGCTTTCCACTTCCTCCTGCATTGTGAGTCTCAAGTCATGGAAAGAGTAAAGTTCTTAAACTGAGGATTGTGTTGGGAACTCCAAATACTTTCAATACAAGTTAACCAAACAAATACATCATGGTCAGACTATTAACATCCTGGTTTAGTGCGCTGAAGCCACTATTCTTTCAAAAAAATAATGTAATCAGGAGAGCTCTGGATAGTTATCTTGGTAGTTCTTTTGGCTTCTGATAACTACAGTAGAAAGCCAAGTTCAAAATGCAAGACAATGAAACCATCAGGAAACAAACTGTCCCCAAAGAGAGCTAAATGGGAGCACACTGAAAGATTAAAAAAACCCCAAGCTATAAAAAAATGTCTCTGAAATCCATGCAGTGGTACTCTAACTGCATGTGGAAAACATTAATTTAAACCTTGAGTTGCTAAAGGTTCAGTTACAGTTTGAAAAGTGCAATCTGTGAAAGGCTGATTTAAAGTTCCTCAGTAAGAGGTCAGCTGCCCCCTTAAGAAAAAAAGCTATTATCAACTTGGAGCAAAGCGACTAAAGAGCTATTAATGTTAGTTAGGTTAGGACTCGTAGCATGTGTTCCAAGAGGAGAGTACAGTACATACCAGTGCCATTGCAATCTATGCAGTCAACTGTGGAGCAGCCAGGTTTATGCCACTGGCAGATTCTAATGTGTTGCAGCTACAAGTATGCTACATTAAACAGCTCTACAGTTACCTGATACCCTTCTGTTTTTTTCTGGCACCACTTCAGCAAGGCGTTTCTCTTGGATCCTCCATATTCCCTTGCTAGGGCAGACAAGGGATCTTTCCTCTCTTCCCTAGGAACAAGGTAGAAGTGCAACTTAGAGCTTGTACTGTATCTTTTGCAACAGAAATACATATTCTAAAAGCTTAAAAAAAAAAAAAAGGACAAATACAGTGAAAGTAGCAGAGTACATAACTGACTGAAAAACAGAATACACAGGAATACCTGCAGACTTGAGAGTTATTTTGGAGTAATCCTCTAGCAAATAATGTTTCTTATTCCTTTAAACATTTTTTCCTAGGTGTTTCAACCCCAATGATACTTTTTCTATGAGTCCAGAAAATAAATCTCACAACATAGTAAGTTCCAGCTTGAACCATTAAGCTAACTCAAGTGACTTTATTTTGTATTTAGAAAGAGAATAAACTGATGCTATCTCTTTTGCATATTATGGCTGACTACAAATGTCACCTTGAAACAAGTTTGCATATTAGCAGCATGGTGTTATTAACAGAACATTTGCCTGGGATTTGGAGTTCTCCAAGAAGAGGAGAGAGATCTGATTAGGCTGATCTGTCATTTGCTATCCCAGCACAATAAAAGCTATCAGTTCATTTCACTTCCAGTCTGTCAAGCTATCTTAAGTAATTTTTTCTCTAAGGAAAAACTGGGGAAGAAAAGAACAATCCTATCTGATTTGGCAATTTTTAACATGAATCTTACAATATAAGCATCTCTTTACCAGGCTTCAGAAATAAGTGCTTAGATTAAAAATACGTATTATAAAGGTTAATACTTTCGTAGTGGCCTAGTCACATGATTCAGTATTTCTATACTCTGCTGGACAGTCTTTAACAAAAAGACTAGGTATTATACCACTATGAAGCTCAGTTACAGGGCATAAAGTGTGCCAGCATTTGTTCTTATTTTAAATAAGTTCCATTTGGAAAATTCAAATGAGACAGCCGTCAGTGAATCCATACGGCAAAGACTCTCTGCCATCTTCTAAAGAGCTCCACGCAGATGTAAGCAAGAATCTCACAACATCCACAAAGATGATACCCTATGCTACTCCTTTTGACTATTTCCAAAAGGATACACATTCAATCTTAAATCCTCAACTCTTTGTTCTTTACAACCCACTTGGTGACTGGAAAGACGGCTGGAATGTGGAAATACATAGTCTATTCAGTGGATTCTCTGTTGTAGATTGAGGTAGCGATTCTCTGGGTCCTGCTAGGGAAAAAGAAAGCATCCACGGAATGTGGATTTCTTCATGCATGTGTGCTGCTAGCAGAACACCAGAGACTGTTCCACTTGTCAGCATCTGTTACTATGCATAAAAGAAGAGAACATGTACCAACATACAACAAAACATTATCAGGCACTAATCTTAAGTATATGTACTGCAATTTGTTTAGCTTTCTGCCCTGAAATACGGATGGCAACATCTCAAAGTTGCTTAGAGATAACATTTGAAACACCCATGAAAATATATGCACAGCAGAACAATAAACAGGAAACAGTAAGTGCCTTCCAGCATGTAAGATAGTAGTACGAGCCTTCAAACCTGCTAATCTCAGGGAAAGTTAACATGACAAGGAAGTTGCTAATTGTGTATTTTAAATGCGAAATAACTTATCTGCATAGGTTCCTATATCTACCACACAGCTAAAATAATGCTTTGAGAAATTCTGTACTTCAGTTCTTAAATCAGTATATTTTTCAACAACCCAAATGTGTATTTTTTTCATTGGTGATTGAGAAAAAATAACAATGAGATCCCATATTCAATCTACAATGAAGATTATCCAACACTATGAGAACTTTAGAACAGAGACTGGGGACAACATAGGAGAACCTAAATTAAAAGCTCCCTCTCTTTATGCTAAACATACTGATTAGACATGATGGAGCTGTACAGCCTGTTCTCAAATTCCAGTAAGAGCACATGGTTTATATCAGGTTCTCACAGTTATGAAAACACTGCTGAGAAAAATAAATTAATGTAAGTTGTATGGAGATAATGAGAAATGGTTCGACATAAATCTTACAAGTTAGTGTATTAGGTCAACTGTATTCCAAATCAAAGAGCCAATGAGATTTCAAGTAGAACAGGGAACAGTAAACTGCAAGCATTTGTTTTAGTGAACTATTGCAATAACTGTTTAATTTACAGCATCTTTCAGAAAAAGGCAGGGGGGGAAAAGAGAAGATCACATAACACATCAAAGTCCAGCAGAGACGTTCTAAGGATGGTTACATAGAGTGTGTGGGCATCACTGCACACCCACTGCTGCAGATTCCTCTGCTAAGGCTTCTAGCAGTGCTTAGGATGGCAGCCAATGTTGAGCAGCTTAGTAACAATATCATAATTATAACTGTACAATTTTGCCATGAAATGCCACACTATTTGCTACAGTCTGCAGACTGCCATCAACGCAATTTTATACATTATAAGTTCAGCGTCATATACAGGTAGTTTAGTCTTTTTTTTTTTTCCATTTATAGATGTACTCAGCCTAAATTTAGGTGCTACCACACAAGATTAACTGTTGCTGGTGAAGTAGCCACAGATCTAAACTCAATTCAATTTGTGCCCAGTGAAAAGAAAACAGCACTGAGACATGTCTCAGCTCATCTCAGGGAAATCATTTTAAACAGCACACACAGCTGTAAATAACTTTACAATTGTATAATCTAATTATTGCATATTGCAAATGTCTCAGAACATTAAGGGTTTAATATTTCTGCTGTACACAAGCTTTGTCAGGAAGCTCTGTGTGAAATGGTCTTGAGAAAGTAATTTAACTTTTGTCTGCCAGTTTCTCTACCTACGAAGCAGGGCTAACTACAGACGTCACTTGCATAACAGGGAGGCTTAAATACTTTGAAGTCCTTTGATTGATAAGACTACAGATAGGAAAAGGTTTAAATTTATCACAGACGTATCTTTTTATCTTATTAATGAAAGGGGGTTGCCTGGCCATTTGTTACTTAGACTTGCATTATGATTTCATCTGTGAGACAAATAAACCAGAGAATCATAAACTCATGGCTATTTAGAAGATTAGTGTTTCGAATGTCTGGAATTGAGACCTAATCATGCTACTTTCTGTCTTCAGCTGTGATTACAAGAGGTAAGGTTTATCATATGGTCTCCCTAGGTTCACGCCACTCTGAAACATTTGTTCAACATGCTGGAAGCTTATTTCTTGAATCTGGCCTCATGGTATTTTTGAACTGGTAAGTGACACACCTTACCTTGGTTTTCTAGTGCAGCATAAAGTTTTGGTATTATACTCAGAAGCTCTCTAACATCTAACTTCTGGTCTAAATTTTAAAACACACTGAGCTGCAGAAAACACCTTCTGAAACTCAAAGATTACTGAAGATCATTATTGTAGGGATGGCAGTAAAGTCTGCAGTCCTAGTGCCAATATTATATACTGCATCTATGCAGAGAGACAGCTGTGAAATTAACACACTTCAGTGCACCACAAAAAGCGGTTCTTACCTTATTCGACTTCTGGTTGTAGGGGTGACTGATGCTGTAGGAGAAGATGAGAGTGACAGTTGTGGTGAGGTGGTACCCATTGCCATGAGAGATGCTGGAGATGCTCCATCAGGTGCACTGATATCCCGCTTGATTTCTTCACTACTTCTTCGAGAGACTAAGTGGGAAAATGCCCATAGATTTATCATTTGCAAATGTTAAAACTTTCAAACATATTCTCACTCTCTGACAAGCGTTAGCTCAGAAATGATGCATAGAAACCTATATCCAATACTACGCTTCAACATTTTTCTGGGTACTTTCCACTTCAGAAATACCAAGGGTTTAGATGGCGCTACCAACATTTATGAGCAGGCCTGTATCTTGAAGCAAAGACAATCTGATGAATGTATCTTAATGCAATATTGCTAATTCCATTTGAAGGCTTTTATGAATAAGAAGGGATTTTAACACCAAACTATTTGATTTTCTCTAATCCGTGTGTTTATGTTACTAAGCTTCAACTAGTTAAAAAAAAGAAACCCCAAAGCAAAACAGTTGAGAGAGGACAGCTGAGCTATTTCCACTTCATTTTAATCAGGAACTGTCATGTACGTGATGCTCTGGACATTAATTAAACATCATCCACGAGCATATTAAAGACTGACCTGAGGCTACTCAGCCACATTCTACAGAGCTTGCTGCATTTCAAAGAACAAACAAGATTTCTTTTGTATGAAAGCACGAGCATTACACTCTACAAAATGGATTTTTGAATGGTTGTATTTTTTCTACATGGAAGAGTTTCCAGTTAAAAGTATGAGGTTTGCTTTTTATACCTAAAAAGTCACCACTGTTTATACTTGGGCAAATCAAAAATACAATTCTCCATATATATATGTATGTGTGTGTGCATACATCTGAGAGATTTATTTTCTAATGACTTAGGGCAAGTAATTAACTTATTAATACCAGGCACAAAAAGATGGAGAAAAAACACTTCTGGATGTTTTTTGTTGGGTGTTTTTTTTGACACATTTTTAGGACAAATCAAAATTATTTTAAATGCATTTTCTTCTTGAAATTATCTGCACAAATACAGGTGTTTTTAAAAAGTATTTCACTCCAATTACTTCTGCCTAGTTCTTAAAAAGTGTCATTTTCACAGCATCACACTATTTGTGCTATTAATCTTACAGATCTGTTTTTAGAAGTCCCTGCTGATACCAAGATGCCAGTTTGATAGTAAACTAACACTGTACCTAAACTTCTAATTAGCAAGTCTGTATTTTAAAAACCCAAAGTTAACATCAAATGTGCAGCAACCACTCTGAGTAATACTGAAGGATATTGGTGGATGATGCCAATCACAAGATGGACTATTTTAAAATGATTCACTGCAATGGGTACAATTTTTGCTAAGTAATATGCAAAACATTTATATACATTAGATAATGTAGAATGACATATCTGTTACCTAGAAAGAACAATCATGCTCTTTTAAGCCATTTACAGTAATTCTTTCCACAAATAAAAACAGAATGGCCTAATTGGAGATGGGTAACATGCTTCTTTGCCTCACTCAATTAAAAAATAATGCTACATCCAAGCAAAGAAAAGCAACAGCCAGGAACAGTTTCTTTCCTCATATATACCTTGTACACCTAAACTGTCTGTAATACAGAGAAAGATGACATAGAAGTCAACTGTTACGTGCATGATTCATACATGCACGTATACATCTCGTATGTTGGTGGACATCTGTATATGCAACAGTGAGTACACTAGATGATCAATTACAATTCTCTTCAGTTCCACCTGATTCAATAAAACAACATATTATTTTACTAGTGGACTTCAGTTTCTTTCCTCAAATACCTGAATAAAAAACTTGAACACTGAAAAATAAGCTATTCCATACACTCAAATAGAGTTTTCCTGACAAGAGCTTGATAGTCTGAAGACCAAAGCTCTCTCTTGACAAAGTAAAGTAGATCTGGAAGTATATTTTGAAATAAGAGTTCCTAATTTTACTACTCATCTAAAAAACGTGATATTACCAGAAATAGATTTGGCACTTTCCATAGCAGGTACTCTTGGCAAAGATGCTGGCCTGCTGGTAGAGGATGTTCTCAGCAAATGTTCTGGACAAAGAAGAAGAAAACAGCATTAACAAAGGCTCCAGTTAAATTTAAGACATTTAGGTATGAGTCATTAATACTGTCTACCAGTGCCCCAGCTTGGCTCTTTTACTGAAAGCAACTGATTATATCTGTATGAAAGAGAAGGCCTAAATTTGCTCATTACCAATGAAGCTCACTATGAATACATCCCTTCTTAATCCTTTTTCCCTAAGGCCTCTTAATAATCCACTTGCCCTGGTCTATGAAAAATTAATTGCTAAACCAAAAGGCTGAGCAAGGAATCTCCATTTAGTACACAGCCAAAAATATTCAATATGCCAATGAGGATTGTACCCCATGTGGTTCTTTTCCCTTTGGGTTGTTGAAAGTTGGTTTGGGGGTATTGGAGTTTTTTATTTTTTAAATAAAATCATGTCCTTTTTTTTCTTCTTTTCCTGCAAGCATTGGAGTCCAAAAGATACCTTTAAATACTGAGGGGAAAGATGAGTTCTGCCTATTGCCAAAGTAAAATCAAACTATAACAAAATTCATTTCTGTAGCATTAAATCAAAGCTATTTCCTATTCTTGAAGAAATATTCCTTCAAATAAAACCTTTAGACTGTAAACAAAAAGTCTCCATACTCCTATGCAGAAACACTTGGAAGGCAGTAATCTAAATACAAAAAAAAAAAATCATAAAAATGAAGAATGAGGATTAAAAAATAGTGAAACCCTGTTCAATAGTTGAAAATGTGACATAAAAAGCTACAAAATACCTTGATATAAAGATGCTTTAAAAATATATACTGTTGTAAACAGAAATTCTGTCTGGCAAAGTGTACTGGAATGCAGTCCTTCTCCTGCATTAACTGACTATAATGGAAACACAACTACTATGTAAAGCATACCACTCATTTTGTCTAAGCTGATATCTACCCATGAACTCTGTAACAGTTAAAGAACACTAAACTATCTTCTTGGAAAGGCATTTCAATATTCCTAAAAATATCCAAGTTTCTAAAATTAAAACTCCAGCTGCATTGTACAAATAACCTCAATATGCATTTAACAAAAGCAAGAAGGAAATCTGGCACATACAGACTATTATGAAGTGCTACAAAAAAAAAAACAACCCACCAAAAACAAAACACCCAACCCTTTAGAAAGCATCAGACCCCAGGAATACCAAACTGAGAGGAAATATTCAGCCTGGAGTCATATGGGGATTATCTTGAGAAACATCTACACGAAAAAAACCCACCCCTAAAGCAGGCATAAATCAGAGGGCTGCACCCAACAGATGATAGCCATTCATTCTCACAGGAAGAGCACATTGTGAACAGTGTTATGAGAGACAAAACAAAGTTTGCAGAACAGGGAAATATTGGGAAAGAGATAAATCAACACTCAATTCCATTCAATTTTTCATCTGGCTCGTGAAGATTCAATACTTAATAAGTTTATACTTCGTTATTCACATGCAATGCCAACCATCATCCTTGTTTCATTCCTGGGGGAAAGAAAATCCAAACACAAAACCCACAACCACACAATACATAATGTAACCCCAAAGTGTGTATTTTTAATAACTGGAAGACAGCTGCAAGACATGTCCCTGAAATCACCTTATCTTGATTTTGCAAGTGATTTCAGTTTATGCACACATTAAAAACTGTCAGAATGATGCCGAGTTATCAGCATGCGATCATGCCTTTGTTGAAAATTCATCAAAGCATCTTTATGATATGCCACCATGTGTGATGAAACACAAGTAATAACTTGAATGTGAGATATTATATGAAAATATTTAAATATTTTGATACTAAAAAGCATATAACATGATAATGCTTTAGATAACAAACAATATAAAATAAATATTAATAGCATTTTTAAGAGCAAAGTTGGAATGAATTTGGATAAATACCTTGAACAGGTATTTCAGCATAGCTTGGTCTTTTGTCTGTCAGCGTAGCAAGGGGTTTTGAAGCTGAGATTGGTCCACTTATAGAATGCCTCTGAAATGGAAAAATACTTGTGTCAAACATAATTTGAAGCTAAAAAAGCAAATACGGAACTGCAGAATCACTTTCAGAAATCAGATATGACACTATTAGTGAATTAAAAGACCTAGAATAATACAGGAACCTTTAAAAATAACTTGGTAAATAAGGATGTGTCCTCTTTACCAGCTGCTTTTGCCATACACACACTGTGCATTGACACTGTTAACATTTGCTTTTTTAAACTGAAACCTGTTCCTCAAACCAATGTTGCAAATTAAAGCTGCAAATTCTCTTGTAGTTTTTGTGTTAATTTTCACCTTCATTTATGTTTCGTTTGTGCAAACCTGTTCTAGTTAAACCTGGTATGTTCAAACTAATACAACCCCCTATAACGCAGCCAAGATTTTAGTGTCTGATTTGTGTTACTAACTTAGACCTCTACTTTGAGCCTTTTCCTGGAAAATTAGGATAATGGTGTGCTGGGTATACACCAAAGTCCCCTTTGCTAAGAAAAACCCTAGTGAAAAAACAGCTTTTAAAGTATTTTTACTATTTACTATTATTTTACTGATTAGAACATAAACAGCTTTTGTTACCACCTATTTGAGATGCTCTGTGAACAACTGGAGAGAGACATTTTGTGAAGTATTTGTCGAATATGTAAGAAAACACAAATATAATTATTTTTTCTTTCCCAGGTCACTTTAATTTCTGTTCTGCTCTACACAGGCTACAAACTGAATTTTGTCTTCTCAAGTTTTATGTAAAATACTTAGCAATGCAAAGCTTCTGGCAGGTTAAAGTACAAGGACCTGATCACAGATGTGTTAAATCTTGCACACAGGAATTTAATAACCACTGGATAGCACTGAAATAAGCATTTGTGTCACACAAATTAACTGGAGAATGCAGTAATTACCCTTACAGTTACTGAAACACATAGGCACTTGCTGAAGACTCTGGGAAGACCATCTGGAAAGAGCCTATTGCAAATTACAGTAGATTCATACCCTGTCCTTTCTATTGGGTTCCAATATTTAACCAAAATCAGCTCAGTAATTTGTTTATCCTGAAAACTCTTTCTGCTTTCCATCTGCTCAAGGATTAAATGAGATGTTTAAATGAGCCTTATCTTCATTAGATAATAAAGGTCAGATGTTTCTCACACCGAATCATGTAGGCAAGACAGACAAATTCAAAACTGTGATTAAAAAACATTAGCAGTATATACTCTGCGGCATCATGTAGCGCAAGCAGGATTACAGGACTACTTATTCATTCTATACAGTCGAACTAGAGTTATGCTTTTGTGCTAGAAATCAGATCAAGAAAACAACTGCCAACACATAGCATGAAGAATTTCCTCGCTCTATATATCTGTAAATGTGCAGGTTAAATTGGCTGGATTGTGAGCCATGCACAGAAGTGTCTACAACAGCTTCCCATAGGAGCTGGTATTTCAAGCTTGCATTATACCTTTAAAGTTCACTTTACCCACTTGGGATTTTGAATAAAGGACAAGGACGGTACCTAAGTGAGAGCCATTTTGTTCCAGTTCCTCAAGGAAACAGCAGATAGATAATGAGATTAAAAGAAGAAGACTTCCTTTTGGTTAGCTTTTGGATTGTCATTACAAAGACAAGGCAGTACAGAACTTTAGCCAGGACCCAAAGGTGTGTACAACAGAGCAGGCACATTGCTGGCCAGCCATATATCTTTATCACTCAGATCAGTTTCCAGATATCACTTGAAAACAAACATCCTTTAAGGATATTGCCAGAAAGTGGCCATACTGCTCAACTGATAACTTGCTGTGTACAGGCCTTGTCCCTGTTAAGCCTTTTTGCTCCTGTTGACATAGCAGACAGAGCTTACTTTCACTACTGCTAGTTCCTTATTACGTATCTTATAACTACCAGTGGTAACATCATGACTAATACACCACAAATTAGAGGAAAATGAACCAACTAATGCTTATCTAGTTCTACTGGGCATCATCTATCTGGTAGTAAAGCACAAGTCTCTTGGAGAATAATCTTCCCTGAAACGTTAATACAAATGTTAAAAACTCTTCTGCTTGACTGAGCTTTTGGTGAATTTGCAGATTAGCCATTCCTCATTTCACCTACAAAACAAACCACACCTGAGGTGCAATTGAGCAAGTATGGATCCTACCAATCCCTTTATAAACACCTCTTCTCCTTCAACTAGAAATATGTCCTAAAACTCAATTAGCTGCTAAATACCATTTGTCCTCTATAATAGCATTCAAACTCCTCAGCACTAAATAAAAGGATCAAAAGTTTGGAGGAATCACTTGCTTTTGAGGCTACCCATCGCACAGAAATTACTAAAGATGCCCTGCAATCTGTGATCCTCTTGTTCATCCTACATTGAAGTCTAGCAGAAGAAAATGCTAGAAAATTTACGAACCAGTTTTGATGTGAACAATTTTCTTCACACATCACAGTTAAATAAAATGTTTCCACGCAGCAGTCTTTGTATAACGCAATTACAGTAAGAGATAAAGATGCTAAGATAACCAATAATTACTTTCTCACAGCCATTCCTAGTTTGAAGATAAACTTTCCGCTAACTACTTATGACCTTCCAGATTACATTTTTTTGTGCGTATGATGAGTAACAACTCTAGAAAAGGAACCAGCACACAGGTAAAGACAATGCAGAACAAACATCTGCCATTGCACTCACACGCGGCAATTTCAGAACAAACACGGTTATTCACATATTAAATAGTGAAGATGTGGAAACCTTTGACACCAAACTGCTTTGGGTCTGAAAGTTTATATGCTCAAAGCAAAGCAGAACATTCAGTGATGATGAGTAAACCTGAACCCGCACCTACTTCAGAGGGTCCTCCAGCAATGAAACAGGAAAAAAAAGTACTTAGGGAAAACAACAGACATTCTTCCTTTCCTTACATTCCTCCCTAGGCATCTGCTTTGGTCACTCTCAGTGGCATACCAGACCAGCTAAGCTTTGGGCTAACCTAGCAGGGTTGTTTTTATAGTCTGAAGAGCATTCTCTTCATACCTGTCTTCCTAAACTGTTCTGCAGCATTGCTAAGCGCTGTGGTAAATAACAGCTATGTTCCACTGTGGGCTTGGACCTGAATCCAGAAAGAGTTTTGTTTGTTTGCTGGTTTTCAGTTGCAAAAATGTCTATTAGAATGTACCTCCTTAAACATAACTCACACAGTGATGACTTAGCAAAGTCTTGCTTTTCAATTGCAAAAGAGCAAAAAACAACAGATGAAAAATTACATAGAACACAACCCCCCCAAGGTAGTAATATGAAAACAAAGAAAAAGAAAAGATAATGAAAATTGGTTTTGAACCAAAACCCCTTCTCTGTTGAACAGGAAATAGTCTTTAAATCAATTTACATAATTGAGGTCACTAAACCTATTTGCCTTCTGGATAATTACAAATACTTTCAAGAAAATCGCCTATCTTCAAAAAGACAATAGAAGCTGTTTCCATTTACAGGCCCTCCCCTTTGTTTTTCAGGCAATGTTTGCCACTAATGAGTATCCAGCTGTTAATGACTTGGTTGTATACCAGAAGTTCAATTCAATATTCAAGTAATTCTGGCAGACCAAGAACATCAAAGAGCTGTAAATTTGAGCAGGTTTGCAGTATTCTAAAGGATTATTTTGGATCATGGTTAATTTACAGGTAAATAAAATGAAATAAGCCTTAGGCTTCATCAAAAAAGTCTTCTGTCTGCCAAAGCTCTGGCCTAGCCTTTCAGAACATGAGATTAAGTCTGCCTCTTCCTACAAGAGCACAGAAATAAATAGAAATATAAAGACAGATCAGTAGGAACAAAGCATCTGTCAGAGAACTTGTCACATTTAACTACTTTAGAAAACTGCTGTCGAGTGACTGAGCCACAGAAGTAGCAGAAGCTCTCACAAAAACATTTATTTTTTTCTCTGTTTTGAGGCTATCTATTTGTTTCATGGAATTCACTCTCAAATTAATAAAAGCTGCACTAGTCTAAGCACAGGAGAACAGTCAGTCTGTTCCAGGTATACTAAAAACTTATATGCATGTAAATTACTCAGTTCACACAGAGAGGATTTATTCCCAGAACTTTACGCTGACCTACAGTAAAAATTAAGTTCTGGTACTTCTGGTACACAGTATCTTGAAAGCAACAGCAGAATTACTGATATCAAAATACATAGTAGCTTCTTTGATTTTTAATTTGTGAATCTGGTCCTATCTGCTTTGTCCTGAAACTTGCTGGCTTTTGCCAAATCTCGCTTCATGCAGGTAGTGAGATAATAAAACCAGCAATGATCTATAAAGCTGAGCATGATAGTGTCGATGATGCAGTCTTAGTGTACGTAAGCTCCTTTAGCACCTGAACAAATGGACAAAGCTATAGAGGGGACAGGACAAAATACACAGTACAGTCACCAACTTGACAAACTTCACTCAGTACAAAATGAACAAAGACAATTAATTCACAGTTATTTCATTCCTCTCTGGTCAGGTCTGATATTGAAAACACACACCACACGGGATACATTTATACTGATGGTCGGTGACAGATTCTATGCAGATCTCAGTTCATTGCCTGAAGGGGGATTACTGCTGTTTCCATGCCAGGCGCAGGACTAAGAACTGGCAAATAGCAACTCTAAAACTAAGGAATGCAGATAAAGTTTTTCTCCCATGCTTCTTAGTAGCACAGGATAGTGATGGTTGGGAATATTTAACGAGAACTTCCAAATTATGCCAAATCTTCTATTTACAACACAGTTCTCAGTGAAACACTCCTGTGAGACAGAACATTTTAGTAACTACTTCCTTGAGGCAACATTTCCCCAGTATCTGTATACTACCACTCACAGTTTCACATGCTTTTCTTTACAAAGAAGGATTAAGTGCAGTCATAAAACACATACCTGCATAGGGGATACAGCAGCAGCTGGGGGAGTTTTCATGGGACTTGGGCTCAGGGGAGTGCGAGGAATTGTGGCAGTAGCAGGGCTTGGAACTAGTATGAACACAGAAAGGAAGCCACCATGAGCATTGCGCTGTTTTGCAGTGAAACAGGAGATTGGCTGTTGTAGTGAACTCTCGCTTTGTACTTTACATTACTAGTTATACCAGATGACATTTTTCAGAATTTCAATTAGTAACTGACTGCAAAATCATTTAAATGTATGCCTACACATTTACTCCTCTGTAATTACATTCATTTTCTGTCTTGAATATATCACCCACAGTTAAAGCATAAGTTTACTGGGGGTGGACAAGGCTAAGGTGAAGGATATTATTACCCTGGCAGATGTAAAAGATGGCATCATTAGTTCTCTGATCTTCAGATAATTAAAGAAATGGTATCAGGTTCCTGGGTCTGCCAGTAAGACAAGAAAGATAACCTGCATCACCTGCTTCTCCTTTCTGGTTTCCAATCAAAGGTCACAGGTACTAGATATTATATCCCTGAAATTTTGGGATTAAACAAATAACAAATTTAGAAATGTATGAAAACAGATAGATACTGAATTGGTGAATCAGTCATCTGATTATTTAACAGCATGTTTAGACATGAATGCTGAGGAATAAGGCAGACACTAGCTTGAAATAAAAGATTCAAAAGAAGGGATTTATCATTTTACCATCTAACTCTGTCAGGAAAGCACCTTTATTCAACAGCAGATTGGAAAAAACCCTTCTAAATTAACATTAGCAAAGTAAAAAACTGTAAATGCCTATGAAGAAAGAGAACAACTGTAGAAATAGAAACATGCACAGAATCACCAAATAATATCGAGATGCTTCTATACCTTAACCAATTTTCAGGTTATACGCAATTAAAAGTAGATTTGCCATGCACAGTACAGTGCTGTCTCTCTGGTAAAACAGTCTACTTCAGGCCAAGCCTTTTTGCATAAGAGACTCACAGCAACATTACTGTAAGTGAAATTCAAATCCCAAAGACCTGACAGGGGAAATATTTTAATCCATAGAGGGCCTTCCATGCAAACAAAGCTAAACCCCAAACACTTCTCCTTTCAAGGTAAGTAATTGGATTCTTTACTCTGTTCATCTACAGAGAAGGACAACAGCACCTGTTTCCACAATCAGAATTACAGTGAATACTGTCTCAACAGTGAGATCCCTTTCATTTTAGAAAATATTCCCTCTATCTTTTAACAGGTGATACTAGCTGGACCTTATTTTTAATTTTCAACAGCACTTTGGTTACAAGAATGTAAGTCATTAAAAGAAACAAACTCAGCTCTAGCTATTACATGGCTTTCAGAATGCTTAATTTGGCACATTAAGTTCACATTTTAATAGTCATCCTGAAATCAGCTGTGCTTCTAGCTATAATTATGTGCATAATATGTGTTTATGTATTTCTAATATACAGGAGCACTGAATCAAAGCATCTAGCATATGAGTCATTGGCAATGCAACAATGAAAATAAAGACAAGAAAAGGATGCTTGCACATAACCGCAGCAAGCAATCTGTTGTGCAGTCTAGTTTAGGTTGGTTTGTTTCAGCCATCACTTACAGGTCATGACAGTACAGTTAAATAATTTATCTTTGCATTACCTAAGCCATTAGAAGTGTCCCTGCCAACATATGCAAAAATCATACCTTGGTACAGCTACGACACTGGTTGAAAATAATTACCTTGGGAGGCACTGTCAAATGACTTGATGAGTGTTTTTACTGTAGGAGTTGGCTCTGAGGAGGTGGATGATCTGCGACTCAGGCCCATTCCTTGTCTCAGAGCTGCCAAGTCTCTCTCGACAGCATTCATGTAATTGTACACTCGACCACGTTCCTCTTCCTGCCTGAAATCAACATGCATCCCATTTAAGGCGTTTAAATAACATTTTAACATGCAAAGTCTTAAAAATTCAATGGAAATTTGAAGCCAAATTAAAATCTGTGGTCCAAATTGGCCATTACATTAACCTAGTTTTCTTTCCACTATAATTTAGAAATAGATTACCAACCTAAATTATCACTGTAAGTTCCTACTATTTGTTAGCAAGAGAACTTCAGCACCAGGTGAAAAGTCTATCAAATCAATACTTGATTTAAGGCTTAATTCCTGCTTCTATCTTTCCCACACACACATGTAAACATGGATGGAAAAAAACTGAGCCTTAAGAATTTCACTGTTTCTCATGAAAGTAACAATCTCAGAGAGCAGATTTTTTTTTCTTCCACCTGCATAAATAGAAAACATTTTACTAAGGAGGTAAGAACACATTTCTGGCATACGTCTTTAGACGGCATTTGAATCAGTTTAAAAAAACAACTACTTTGATTTTTAGTACAGAGCATTGACTGATTTTTTTTTGCTTCAGACTTTTCTAGCACCTTTCCTCTAATGCAATACCAGTATCCAAAGAATCTGATTCAGTTGCCTCTTTTCTGCAGTGCATCAATAAGTCAAAGAATGCTTGCGGATAATATGGAAACAGCAAGCCAGTCCTACCTTCAGAAGTGCACCTGTAACCTCAGAGGTTCACTTGCAGTAACTGAACAATTACAATTGTGGCTGAGATGTATTAGTAAGAACTGTTCATATGTCTTAGTTTGGTGATCTTACTTCAGATAGATGCCTTCTGCCCACCAGTCATCCAGCCAGATAATTTTCCGTTTTCAGTGTAACCAGTCTACTTTTCCTACCATTTTTATGCAAGTTCCACAGCCTGCATTACTTCATATCCTACTGGATGCTGGGTTAAGTGTAATGTACACTATAAAATGCCCATCCACATGGAAAAAATTGTTTAATATACAGACATTGTTTAATATACACAATATATAATACAAACATCATTACTGCAATTGTAAACTATACATAGATGTATCCAATCTCTAGAGACAATGTAGTCAGATTCAAATGATGCTGTCCAAGATGTTCCTATTCTATGGATATGAGGACTTCAATATTTCTGAAGGATGTATAACTCAGTTTCTAAATAACTGTAGCACCTAATTCAAGTAATAATACATTATAGTTTGAATTATTCTACTAAAAATGTCTTTATACCAAAGCATCTCCATTCCCAGAAACAATTATCAGTGGAAAGAAAACAGTACAGGATATATGCAGAATTAGATGAGGGTTTCTTCTCAGGTAAAAATCCAGCTGTATTTTAACCATACCAAAAGCCTTGGCTGCTAATAAGAAATACTAATGATGGCACAGAAAGGCCAACACTCCTTGTTTTTCCACACTGAGGAAAATGCCCAGCTGTTAAATGGGAAAAATCCCCCACTTAACCTGGTTTTGCAAACTGAATATTTTTGGATGGATGAAATAGTATAAAGAAACAAATACTGTTCTTAAAGTTATTTTGACCCCTGAAAGCCTGCATTGTGGAAATACAGACAGGCACAGATCTACGAACTTCCAGAGTCTCAGTAATAGACAAGATACTGGATTTCCAAAGTTGTACCCCCCTACAAAAGCAGCATTATCCCTACTGTCTTTGCATACTTGCGTGACTTGATTTCTTCCAGCTCTTTAGTGAGCTTCTCATTTTTCTCCTGAGCTTCATGTAATCTACGTTTCAGGTCTCCTATCTCTTCCTGGGCCTCAGACTTGATATCATTTGCTATAACCACTGCAGTCTGTAGATCAGCCTGGAACTGACGCCATTCTGCTGATTCCTCCTATAAATAAATAAAACACAAAACTGAAAGCAGCAGCAAGAATTTTGAATCTAAAAATAAAAGTTACCTTTATTATTCATAGTTTCCCTATGCTGTTACAGGAGTGGCAAAGGCACTCATCTCTGGCATTAGATACAACCTAACTTACAGGTTAAATTGAAGGAGTTTTGCTGGAAATAATCAGACTTCCAAGGTCATGAATTTCTTTTCTAGAAACAAAGAAAATGCTCAAAGTGGAGGGGGGGGAATTACAAAATTAAACCATGCATCAGAAGGCACAGGAACATTTTCTCCTACGCCCAACACTGTATCTTTGTGACACTGGGAACGTTCCAGAATTCTTTAGTGTCTGTAGGTTAGTAAATATTTTTCTATATGATGCCCATCTCTCAGAAATAATTATTTTAATGGTATTACATCTAATAATATTATCTTTTCACAATTGCACATGCAGGTCTTATGACTTTCCAAGTTCACAGTTTATTGAGTTTTTAGATTTTAACCTACCCGGAGTCTCCTGTGGAGATTCTTTATCTCTCTTTCCATGTCATGCTTTTGGTCCTGAAGTTTTTTAACTGTATCTGGAAAGAAAGTCAAATTCTCTGTAAGATCTTAATCAGGGATCTATTTACTTTAAAAAGAGTAACTGAAAAAAACACATAAAACCTTGCAAATGCTTTTGAAAACTTACTCAGAAAATGTATTTTTTTTTAACCAAAGCCATCTGGAGAAAAACATTATGAGGAGAAGTAAGTTTACAGAAAGTGTCAACAGGTACAACTTCTCTATGACTGGTGAGGGGAACAGCATAAGCAAATTCAATTCTTATACAAATCCCAGTTTCTCTTCTATCCTTCACAGTATTAAAATGACAAAGCAATAACAAAGAACAAATAAAACAGATAGGTAATCTAACATGGAAGGATCCTTAAAACATGGAAGCCTGGGGGTTTTATCTCTTCAAACATAAGCTACAGCTACATGAAGCCTTTTGATTCACAATTTACTCCCTGCCACAAAGCAGCTGACATAACACTCAGAGAGCCATGCCCTCAACGGGGATAAAATTCCACTCCTGTCCTCAAGAATCCTACATTCTTGTCTCTCAAACTATATTTTGAAGTCAAAGCAAGCTATATTTACAGCAATGGGACAAACTGTCGATAAGATTAAGTTATGAAAGAGATGGTCCTCTAAATCTGTCAGCAGCCACGCAAAAAGATATGCAGCTTGATGGCCACCAGCTCCTCACGTGGCGTCTGACAGACTGGCTACTGCAATTATTCATTTGCTCCTTTATTCAATACACAACGACAATGTGATTGATTACTCCTTTCTTATAACTAAGCAACTAATGAAGAAAAGCACAGCATAGATTTCTAATTAGCATGGCCCTTCACTGATCCTTGGATCATAGGACGGTTTATACAGCATCATGTAGCAATTTTCAAATTGTAAAAATGATGGATCAGTTGATTTAAAGCCTTTTTATTTTGTTCAGGTTCATTGTTCCAAGACCTGCTTGACACATTTTTCCTGTATTGTAGCAATGCTCTTTTCACAAAAAGATAAAAGGTGCCCAATACACTCAAACTGTTCAAAATACAAAACCTTGTCAAATCTAACCGCATAAGAAATGCTTGAATAGTCAGAAGATGGGTATGTATGTTCATACAGACTGATACAGTAAAGTTTTGTGACTCACATTTTCAACATGAAAACACTTTCCAGTGCTTTGATTTGGGTATCAGGACTCAAGAAAACCATTAAACCAGTTTATTCTGTTCTTCTATCAAAACCTAGCAACGCCCTCCCAAGTAAGTCTGTATCTTCAGTACTCCTGGTCTTTTGTCAAAGGGCTTTTCTTAACAATAAAAATGAGCCTATGGCCAGCCAAACAGAAAACAGTAAGCATTTTAAAAATGTTTAAATCAAATGTTATGTTGAAACTGGATGATCTTTAAGGTCCCTTCCAATCCTAACCATTCTACGATTCTAGGATCTAAGCTAATTTATGCTGCTGTGTACATTCAGGAGCCTTAACTATGCTCATTTCAATTTTTCAGCTATAGAAACCCTTCTGGTTTCTTCACCAGGAGAAATTCTTGAGTCTTGCCTCTATTGTCCCAAGTGGCTGCTAATGCCACCACCATTTTTTTTTTTTTTTTTTTTTTTTACAAGAATTATATAAACCACAGTTTTCCTGAAAACATGAAAACCGTTCAGGCTTGGAAAAGTTGAAACACTGAAATTAGACAGCTACTTCCGTATTTACCAACTCATTATAAGACTGCACATTTTAAGATGCATCCAACTGATCTTTAAGCTTTGAAGATAAGCCTAACAGGCCACTCCAATGTCATGCTACCCTGGTACTTAAGCAAAGCCCTCCAGTTTTTAGCTTGTCTCTATACACAATTTGTTTGAGTTAAAATCAGCACTGAGATGCCAGCTTTAGGTCCAAGTTATAAAAGTCACTCCCTCTCCTCATCCTATTTTCCTTTAAGCACATGCTAAAAACCCAGTTGAAAATTAGATAACTTTCAACAGTGACAGCAAGTCAACATGCCCTAAAGAGCTTCCAGTAGCATTCTGAAACAAAATGACCATATTCTCTTTTAAAGTTCAAAGAAAATGTGTTTTTCAAAAACAAAATCTGTTCTACTACTAAAATCAAGCTACAGTTCATCTAAAAATAACCACAAACCAGAAACTATAAATGCATCCAGAATTAAAGCTTGTGTAATGCCATTGTTTTGAGCTCTTGTGAGATATGAAACGCACCATTAAGTTTTAGTATATTTATGCTTTGAAGTAAAACACAATGGTCTGAATATTTTGCAGTTACTATAAACAATACAGAGCACTTCACAACAGTTGTTGGAAACAGTCTTATCCCTCAATTTATCCAAGAGATTTAAAACCAAAACAAACAAACAAACAAACAAACCCCCCCCCCCAAAAAACCTACCAAATTGCAACTACATTTGAAACACAGTGAGAAATTAAGACTAAGATAAGTGATTTCATCTCTGTCAGTCTGAACTCTATTCTTCACATTGTGTCACCAATTACAGCCTGAAAATTCAAGTAGTCAAACTGGGCACACGGGCAGCAACTCCCCGTAGATCTGCCTTGCAGTATCCTTCCTTTCTGCATCCTCACAACCTCCACGATTCTTCTCTAGCACACACTAAACCTTTCCACTTTTATGCGCTACTAAACCTTTCCACTTTTATGCGCTGTAATTTGTAGGACAGGTACTTTTCTTCTCCTATTATCTGGTCTCCATTTAAGGAGCACAGATAAGAAAGAGGATTGAGATAAAAGTAAAAGTAACTATTGTTTAGGGTATGTGAAGAGCAAGGAGACCGTTCTGATGAATGAACAGGCTAATCAAAACTGGCAGCTCAGCAGCTGCTTGTATTTTACTGCAGGATCCAATTATGTCCACATTTTACCAAATGATACTGATTTAAATCACGGTTTAACAAGGCCTTGCTTTTTAAAACGCAGAAAAATAAATTATGGGAAAAACATACTGCAAATGATAAAGAAAAACATTGCAACTAGGGCTGGAGGTGGGAGGAAAAACCTAAGATGTCATCTGAATGTTGTAAGGCTGCCAGAGAAAAAGTATCACTGTATTCTGTACCTGGAACTCTTACTAATTATAATCAGCCATTAGAATTTATCACTACAAAATAAAAATTAAGTATCAAAGATCAGCTGATTAATTTCAAAAGTCTTGGGGGGGGGGGGGGGGGAAGAAGAAGGGGAAAAAACAGAAAAAACATGATAATCCTGTCATTCCTGATATGCAACACCAATGCAAGTAAACATGACCCGGGCAAACCTACAATGGGCATTCTCACAGTTTTTGCACTAGTTCCATTGGTTTGCCTTATACTAGGATAGCATTTCAATTTTTGTTAGCACAGAAGTGGCTATATCAGTATAATCTCATCTACAGAGAAGCACCAGCATCACAGTTCACTTAAGAATCACAGCTTCTTTATACAAAGAAGAGGTACTAGTTAGAAATATGCCAAAGCTCATGCTATTTGCACATAAGTCTTGCTCTTGAGCTCATCACTGTCAGATAATACGTCTAATATAGGAAGAAAGCTGAATTTTTAAAGGGTCCAACATTAGCTCCCCCCCCCCCCCCCCCCAACAATTAGAAAATGAGCATCCAATTGTCCTATTCCAACACTAGGGTAGAAAAGGCCTAAATATGGTAATGTAGAAATTAGGTTTTGCAACTGCTGTCAAGATCCTCTTCAAAATGAGATATAGCAGAATTAAAAACACTGTCAATTCCATGTAAGAACCATTTATTCACTCAACAATAGATAAATCAACTTTCTTGCTCACCTACCCTTGTCCAAAAAATGTACTTACTTAAATAGTTACAGACTAAGAGAACTGATGTTTTTAGCACATGTACCTTGTGCTCAGTGAACATGCAATTAATATTTTCAGGCTTCAGAAGAACCATCTGACAACTGATAATCTAACCTACAAATAGGAACTTTCCACAAATCAGGAGACAAAGTTCTCTGAAAAAAAAAAAAAAATCCCCCACAAACTCTTATTAACTGTTTGGAAGAACAATAGGTTTCTTTTTTCACCCAACGTGACTAATGTGACAGCTTGGCTACCTGACTGCAGTTTTCTGCAGTGAGACACGAAACCCAGAGGCATCACGCCACCTAGTGCAACGCTCGCCTCTCCTGCACTTCCAGCCAGCCCCTCACCTCCACTCCAGCACCTACAGTTTAATCGGTGCAACTTACATCCTACTGTCCACATCAAAGAGATCCCAGTTTTTACAGGCAAACATATTAACACCTAAAATGTGATAGTTCAATATTAAGATGACTGTGAAAAAGGCTTGTATGTGTGTTTGTTGTACTTCTTTCTGGTTTAGAAAGCCCACAATGAAGCATGCCCCTATTACCAGTGCTAGAGCATTCCATATTCCCACATTACTATTTAGGGCTGATTAATCAATAACATTGAATGAACACTCATCACCTCATCTATGAAGCATCTTTCTTCTAACTGTAAAGTATGCCTTTTACTAATTCTTTAAGTGATAATTTTCCATCACTTGTCATTTATTCAGGTGTCTTGCTGTCCCTTTCTTTCACTCAATAACTTTGCCAGTCAGCAGACTCTCCTTAAGGCCTGGGTTAGATTTCCTCATATATTAAAATCTAAAATAAAAGTTCACTAAAGAAAACCTTTATGGTTCTTTACAATACCTGGGTTATTTGGGCTGAAAAAACACCATTCTTCTAACTAGTGCTTTATAATCCCTAAACCTACACTAAATTCTCCACATTTAAAAGCACAGACATTATACATTTGGCTGTCAGAATACCAGAACTGACCAAAAGTCTCATCAGCATTAAGAGAACTTCTACTACCAGCATGTGCTTTTCTGTCACTTTAATACAGATTTTTAGAATTCTCCCTTTTAGATGTTGTATGTACTAGCACAAGTCACAGAGTTTGTGGTCACAAAGAACAGAGATGCTGTTCTTTGCTGTCACTACTTAGACGCTACCACCAAGGAACTCCTGTACGAGGTTTAAATACGAACCCATAATGAACAGTGTTTCAAAGTGGCCACAAAAAGTTCAGACTATTTTACGGGTGCCATTCCTCCTTACCGCCACTAGATGCCACTCTCCTTCCTGCCTAGAGCTAAAATCCAGCTTGCTTCCCTAAAGGATCAGACCAGGCCAACAGCTAGTACAGTTAAATTTTCCAGACTATGTCAAGAGTGATGAGCAGCAAAGATTGTCATAACTTCTGCTGAAAATTCCTGCCCAGGCAGAGGTTTATCTGTTTGGAATTTTACCAGTTTCAGTGAAACACCTGCTACCTGGTTTGCACACCCAACGAAGCATCTAAAAGCTAGAGCTGTCTTGTAACCAGGTATCACAAGGCAGATACCTAAATGTTTACTTGCCTACAGTGCTGTTTCCTATAAGAATGTATTTCATCTAATGGACAAAACAATGCAAGTATAAAAGCGTTCAACCTTTTCAAGTCTTGCTACAAAGACGACTTCAACAAAGTCAGAGCCACTGACCATGTGCCTGAGCTCCTGCTTCCAAGCAAATGTGTGTCTTTGGCTTTGGTACAGAAACAAAAAGAAAAAAAAAAGGCAAACTAAAAAGCTTACACACAATTTTGTAAAAAGAAACAGTGACTGCCTTTCCAGACAAAGAAATGTTGTTTAGGGAAAGCAAGCTGACAGCCACGTCTGAAAACACTTCAGTTGAATAAGCAATGTAGCTTGCTTAAAACACTACCTGTTCTTGAGAGCAGACCAATTTAAATCCTTTCTATGAATATTTCCCTTGCTGTTAAAAAGGGATCATGCTTTGGTTTTGTTCCCATGTTGTTTAATCTTTGTATGCCATGGAAAAGCAGCAGATACACTGTATGTAGCACTGTGTAAAGACAGCTTGCCAGGGTACAGTTGCCGAAGTTCTTATTTAGATGGAGACTAATTGCAGAATTCCAGCCTGTAGTAGGAATGTCTCAGCACATCTTGGAGAACAGAGAAAGATCTAAGGCACAGACAGCTAGACGATCACACAGTAATGACACTACAATGAATGTCATTATAAGCCCTAAGCATTTCTTGTATGGTGGCAAAAGTCAAGAGATAAAATTTTATTATAGCTTGCTTAAAGTTTGTCACATTCATTGCTAGGTTCACAGAGCAGCTTCAGGACTTGAGCTACACAGAAAGAGGTATAGAACACATCCATATTGCCAACTCAGCTCTGACTAAAACCACCTTTCTTCAGGTGGGAATAATGATTAATTATACACATGCTCAAGATACCTGGGAACTCCTGATATTTGGGCCCTCAAAAGAGTTCTTCAAAAACCACCACCAAAACACTAGACCAATCATCCAATCTCAAAAATGCACGAGGAGCACACTAAGTCTGTAATTACAATGCTCTTTTACTTTGAAAAAAGACTTGAAAACATCATTATCAGATTTCATATTTATTCTCAGTTCACAGGTTTTAATTCCCACACCAGCTACTCCTTGGACTGGAAAAACAAAGCCAGCTTGATTTTTTTCCCCTTACTGTATAAGGGTTCTGCAAAGGCCCATCTGATTTGAATTCAGACATACAGAAGACAAGTGAAAATATTTCCACAATCACAGTGTTCTTAAATTATCATTTCTCTCACAAGGGAAACTCATAACACTTACTCTCCAAATCAGATATGATGAGGTTGTCGTGAAGCTTCACAGCACGATGCTGCTCTACTTCATCCTCCAACTCAAAGATAGTTTCTTTCATATCACTTCTTTCAGTCTCTTTTTCATCTAGTTCTGTCCGAAGTTTTTCTAGAGTCACATTGAGATCCTCAATTTGTTTCTTGGCTTCTTCTTGGAACACTCTGTATTCATCTTCAACCTGAAAAAACATGTCTTGTAGTAACTAAATTGGTTGCATTTTAAAACACACTTCTAGTTTCTACCATACTTAAAATACACTTTTTTTGCAGCCATAAGAAAGTATGGGACAAGTAGTCAAGCGTAAGCCTTAAAAAACATATTGTTCTAGTGCAACTATTTTCCTGAGCCAGAGCTAAACTCCTTTATTCCCAAGATGAATATATGAGCATTCCCCAGCTACTTTAACATCAGCGTCTGTATTCAAAAGAAGCAACAATACAATAGTACCAAGGCTGTAGTTTCATGAGCAGCTGATCCAATTTAACATCTAACTGCTGTGGAAAAGGGAAGGGGTGGTGGGGGAAACTCTTTACTCTTTCTTTCTCTTGCCAAAAAAAGGCCTGTTCTCTTCTGTGCATCAGTTTCATTGCTTGCTGGACCTCTTAGATGATTCATTTCCTTAACCAAGTAGCAGGATTCACTTTTGTGTGTGAGATGTGTTAGTGAGCTGAAGTAGTTCCCAGAGGACTCATACTAGCTACTGAACTGAAATACAAAACCAGAAAAAAACAAAGCCCAGGGAAAGGAAGGAGCAGACTTCTTGCTTTGAGGAGCAGCCAGGCTATTTTATCTGCCTCATGAAACTGCAACAGAAGTAACAAGCTGAGATTAGAGGCACTGTAACTTTAACCCAACAACAAAAATAGGGCATCAGAAAAACAAGAGAAATCAGGTGATGGCTTAGGGTGGGTCAGCACAGGCATCAATTTTAACAGACAAAATGCCCTGCTTTAAATCATCTGTTTCAGTATTTTTTATTTCAATAGCACTACCCAACTATAATTATTAAAATTACACTTTTTTTTCTCCTCCCAAATTAAGGTTGATTCTAAACTGGCTGGTGACCTTGACTAACATGCTGATTCGAAACTAAAATATAGTTTAGACTACATTTGGCATAAACTGTCTCATCAGACAGACCCTTAAATCCACCCTGAAAGTTACTGAATATTTTATGATTATTTTTATATTATCTAGTAAATATGTCTTGTAAAAGCATTTACCATAAATTCATTATATCTGGATCAAAATAGATGTTCTAGAACTAGAAATATACATTTCAAATCAAAACCCAGACAATACACAAGCAGCTGCAGGATGGATCATTAGTGAAAATCCCTATGCATATTTGCTGTATTTAATAATCACTGTTAAAAAGCTTATCAGAATATTTTAGTTTGTGGGGTTTGTTTGGTTTTTCATTTTAAACTAAAATATGTATTCAGTATATTTAAGTTGGGTAAAATTTCTGTCTACCTCAGAATTAGTCATACCTTAACTGGAGAAAGAAGACATTTTTCTGCTTGCTTTATCATTAGATAACGACCAACTTGAATAGGCTGAAACTTCAAAATATTCTCTCCACACCTGTGACAGGTCCCACAAGTCATCACCAGCTTGGTGAACACTTCAAGCTTTGTCTCCCAGTACTTCCTCAGCAATACCCTGGCACTAACTCCTTGAAACTCTTGAAGAAGTCATGCAATTTAAGCACAAAATTCATACAGTATCTTAACTGCTGCTTGAGTTTGGTCCTTGAAATAAGTTGCAGAGTTTAAATGCCAGTATTTTAAAAACAGCAGCATGACAGTTACCATGTGGCTGAATGTGTCCATATAATTTCTAAAAAGGCCTCCGACATTTTCATAACAAAGATCAAGAGAAAGGAACCAACCCTAACACTGACACAGTCCTATTAACCTCATCATTAATTCGTTACTTCAAAAAGATCTACAGTGACCAACAGTAAGTCATATTATATACTGGATGTTAAAATACAACTCTTTTAAACAGTACCTTAGCAATGGCATCCTGCAGTCGGTTGGCATCGTTGCGGGTGTGTGCCAGTTCTTCTTGCAGACTACTGGCCAAAGTCTCTGCTTTTTCTTTATCCAGCCTGACACTCTCCAGCAAATCTTGTATATCTGATTTGTCTCCAGAGTTGTGTATGGAATACAACTCAGCCACTTTCTGCTTTTCATGCTCTAACTGAGCTTTCAGCCTGTTCATCTCAATCTGGTCACTGGCTACTGTGGCTTTGTACTCCTCTAAGGTAGATGCTATCGCTGCTTTGCTTTTCTGCTCTGACTCAATAATCCGTTCCATGTGGTGATTTCGTTCTTTTAATGCCCCTATCATTTCTTGAGCCTCCTTGTTGTCTTGTTCCGCCATCTTCAAAGTGTTGCTCAAGTGCTGCTGAACACCTAACAGCTGCTCTCGCTCAAACCGAGCGTTCTCTGCAAGGTCCATATAACGCTGCTCTAACTCCATGTAGCGACCACTTTTCATATCTTCATCAATTACATATGAAATATGGTGTTCATCTAAAAGGGACCGAAAATACTCGATCTGGCGGCTGAAGTGTTCCAACTTGTCACTTTGCTGGCATAAGGATTCCATGAGGATTACTTTTTCCTCTCCAAGTCTTTCATTCTCACTGTTTAGCTCTTGTGTTATTTGTTGCAAATCTGCAAGTTCTTGAAGTGTGGCTTGGAGCTCTTCAGCTGTACTGTGCTGATTCTCTTCCATCTGATGTATTCGTTCTGTCAGACAAGCTACAGACACTTCACTTGCATTGCCACTACTTCCCTTCCTAGATCTTTCTATACTTGGTACACCTTCAGACTCCGAAGATGATGGAGCATCTAAGGCATCATCACTTGATGTCAGTGGCTGATAAACTTCACTGCACTCACTGTCTAAATTATCCATGGAATTACTATGTTGGTTGTCCATTAAAGTGTTTTCATCCTGACTTAACAAGTCTTCCATTGATCCAGGAGCAGAACCTTCCACTGAAGATGTCAGAGTACCACCACCATCACTGTGGTTGCCAGCTGTAATCTCTGGACTCAAGGACTGATAGCCAAAGAGTTTTTCAGAGTTATCCAGCCTTTGTTCCAAAGAAAAGCCTAATGCATTTAGTCTGTCTTTTAACATTCGATTCTCATTCTTCAGCTGGTTCAGCTCTTCTCGGATGGCAGTGTTTTGTTCCTGTAACTGTAGCAATGTAGACTCTACATCAGTTGGCTGATGGACAACTATGGCCTCTTTTTCCTCAGATTTTTCATCACCTTCAAGCTGATCTTCATTAAGTCCCAGCTGAGCACGCATATCCCTTAGCTCATTCCTCAGATGCAAGATTTCCACATCTTTAGTTTTTGCCAATGTCAAAAGATCGTTCACCTTTGCTTCCAATGCAGCTTTGTCACTGATCTGATTGTCTGATTTTGACTTACTCATTCGAATATCTGATTCTGGGTTGGTGCGACTGCGGGAGCGTTTTGCCAGTACCGTATCATTGGTCCCCTGGCCAGTCAAAGGCAGCTTTTTGCTCTGGCTTAAACGAGAACGGTCACGTATTCTTTCTCTAGAAGAGCTTGACTCTTTATTTCCAGATGAAGTGCTACGCTTAGTTGTGGAACTGGTACCTGTATGTTTTTTGAAAGTTAGGAACATTAATTTAAAATACAGTTATCTGTAACAGAAGACTGTGTATTTTGTATCTGCAATACAGCAGTTGATCTTCTGAATCACACGGGTCAACACATTTCATACAATACATTTAGAGTAAACACTTCAACAACCTGAATCATGAATCAGTGTAGTTACATTTTAATTTATACACACTTTACTAATTGCTATGCTTTACCTGTATATTGCAAATGAGAAAGACCTTAAAGTTTAACATTTGCAAGTTTCTTTATTTTCCCCCTTCAACAGCTTCTGATAAATTACGCACAGACTGCAGCAGTGCTATTCCTACAAGTTCACATTTGTCTCTCTTTTGAGTAGATTTGAATGCAAGTCTTTAAGTGATGGTTTACACATTATGATTCCCCAAAATAAAAGTTAAGGGGTTTTGTATTTTCATCTCATTTCATAAAGACAAGGATAGATTATTACTACTTTACTTCCAGAAGCTTCACAGCTTTGCAAGCATTATTGTATCAAAAACAGCAACAGAAGGCAAGACATATTTCCAACCACATTGATACTACACTAAATTTCACTTTTCCAAACAGTTTCTCAAAGCTCTCTTACTTTATAAAGCAATACAGGATGTCCAAAATGTTGACTGCAACAAGTGATCTCATCTTAAAAGATCAGAGCTTGAGGCATGGATTTTTTAAGACAAATTATTTTAGGCAAACCTATGATTCTATAGATTAATTATAATATCTAGTTTTACATAGTAGTTGCATAATCAGTACTGGAAATAATAAAAGGAACACCGTTCAAAAAGGCAATTACATTATTGAAAACTGTACAAAGAGAACAGAAGACATTTGACTTGAGCATGGCCTTTCATTAGGCAGCCTAGAACCTCAATACATAATAAGAAAATAAAAAGCCACCCAATTACCATCTTTAAGGATCAATATATCCATTTACCTGCAATAGTTTTGGGTTTATTTTCCAGACTGTTCATGGTTGTCCCTGAAGCTGAAGATGCTGTTGCTACACAAGTACTCTTCTTTGCCTTGACACCATTGGTCATTGTCACTCCACCACCACCTGCCATCCCCGCTAAGAGGTCATCATTGCTCTTAGTCTGAAAGAAAGGGAAGAAGCAGCTTTAAGGCAGCTGGCTGAGATGTCTGCATAGCCAACATTTCTTCTGTTAAAGATTTCATCAGTTTAAGAAGTACGTATTTGACTAGTCATGTCTATGAAAGAATGTTGAAAAGTATAAATGCACTGCACTGGGCAGGGTTACTAAGTTGGATGTTGAACTTCAACTCCTTAAATATGATTGATCATAGAAAACGACTCTTCTCTCTCCCAGACAAAATGGTTAATGCTTCAATACCAAAGCAAAAAAAGAAAGAACATAATTAAAGTACAGCAACACACCACAGTGTAACACTTGTCAAGTTTGACCGAAAGCTTGCTTAAGCATAAGAATGAAGACAAACCTCCAAATACTAAGAAGTTAGATAATGCCCTTCAATAGAATCTGATCAAGCATTTTCTGGTGGAAAAGCGCACAACAAGAAGAACAAACCAAACCAAACAAAAAAAAAAATCAAAACCACAACAACAAAAATCCAACATCAACAAAATACCTGAACTCAGAGGATCAGAGGGGGAAAGAGCCACCCTCACCATATATCCTTGCTTTGTTGTTATGCTCTTTACTAAGCACTCTCAGAGACAGAATATGTTTGATGTATTTTTGTCTGACCTTGTATGATCATTCCTGAAACTACTGTTAGCCACAAAAGCTGCCTGGAATGTGACAAGGCAGTAAGCACAGGAGTCTCAAGAACCAAATTCCCAAATAAGAATTCATCTTTCAAATTAAAGCAAAGGCTACAAATACTAAGTTCTCAAGTATTAATTGCCAGACTTTACAACTCTTTAAAATGCATTTTTTCAAATGGTGAAACAATCAAAATATGCTAAACACTTCTCCTGTTATAAGGCCAAGAAAAAATTAAAAGAAAACAGCTGTGTTAGCAGCATTCCTTAAGTAACTGTATTGTTCAGCTGGACAACACATTTGAAATCTCAACCAGCATCCCAGCAAAGAGGTAGTGCTTAGGAATTAACCAGCTGCTTTACTTCATGACTTTCAAATTCTGCAGGTTTATAATTTCTAGCTCCCATACATATTAATGTTAAAAACTACATGCCAGACATGGTTTTACATAGTAAGAACAAAGGTATGTTTGCTTAATTGAAAAAAAAGAAGCAGTTGCATCTCCATTCTATATAGTCCCTTTTTTCAAGTGGGAATTTCAGAGCAGTTAGGAACACTGATCACGATACTGTGGAAAGGATATGCTGGGATTTATGCCATTTACAAGGAATAGCTGCAAAACAAAAGGAGTTTGGGAAGAGAACATATTTGTTCTATGAGCAGTTGTTAGAAATACAGATAATTTGCAGATAGAAACAGGTATTTGTGAGGGTAAAATCCTCCAGGACAAGAACGTTTTTATTGAATCATGGAGGAAGTGGTACAGCCTTCTAAAAAGGTTTACAGAAGGCTGGAAGAAAACATTACTCCAAGGCTCTTGTCTGATGTGCAACAAAGCTGGCTTTTCTGCTACAAAAAAGTCACTGTTTCACCCCACTCTTCTCCACATGCTTACACTGAGCTGTGTAAATTGAAGCCTTTTCAAAGGGCTCCTTTCTCCCAGGAGCCAGATCCATTCCTTGATCTGCTGTGTCACACACCCATGCAAACCAGCAGATGCAATCTAAGTACCAATGGGACAATAAAAATGTTGGAGAACTACAAAATCAAGAAAACTCACACCACTTCTGTGCAAAGAGCTGAGCGCAAACTACTCTGTATGACAGTCCTCCACTACTGGTGGTGGGGGGAAACAACCTTGTGATGCAACTATCACCTAAACCAAGGTATTCTAAAATGGCGTAGAAAGCGATTTTCTATTTTGCTACTGAATCTACCAGTCAGCAAAGATGAGAGTTCAAACAGACTATTAGCTGTCAACAATTTTACCCTGTTGAAAGAGTGAGGAAATTAGATTAAGCTTTTAGACACTTATAGTACAAGTACATGTTATCAAGCCAAATAGGTCAAGAGGTGACTCAGCTTGAAGAAAAAAAAAGAAGCCAAGTAAAATACACACTTTCTGACATTAGTCATCCCCAGTCCTTGCTGAACAAAGGAATTTGAGACAGCAATTCTTCTTCTGACTTACCCATAAACTATTTCTAGTCTAGATTGGAAGGCAGTGCCTCCTCTGCAGCCAATTAGTAAACAGTTTCTCCAAACTGTAACACTACACTCTTGGCAAAGAAAACTATTTAGCAAAGCTTTGGAAAAATTACAAACCAGCAGCTCTCTTTTCTTAATGCTCCACAATGGCAACCATTCTTAACTGTAAAAAAACAAAGTACTTTTGTTGTGTATATTTTTAATGGAAGAAAAATCAACATTGTATGTTTATTAAACAGCTTTTTTCCTCATTTACTGAGGACAGTGCAATCCTGCTCAGTGTTAAAACCCCCACATTAAAACATGAAACATTAGAAATTACCAGAATTAGAAATGCTCATCCAGACCTATTTTGATTTTCTGTATTGAAAAACCACTTTATAATCATACAAATCATAGTCTGTTTTCCCTCACATCTTTCTTTCAGTGCAATGTAACTTGAATGACCTCCACAATTCATTTCATCTTAGTTTCTCAACGTGTATATCCTATTTCCTGCACCTTATTCAAATCCCTTTATATATATATATATATATATATAAAAATATATATAATTATTCCAACCTGGAACTTTCTTTGAAGCTTGCTGTTGCTGCATTTGAGTGCTTCAAACATCAAACTTAACAACAATCTGTAATTAAGTTACTGCATTTTGAAAACGCAATACTGAAGCCTAGACACATGAATACTGAAAACACATTCTAATTTTGAATATTCAAATATTGTTGTCCAAGTCCTGGCTTTTCAGGGACACTGGATTTTGCAAGGTGTTTGTATGAAGTACAGCTGCCGTCTGTCCCGGGTTCAGCACTAGCAGTCACTTTTCTCTTTCTTAGTAGCTGGTGCAGTGGTGTGTTTCCGACTTTAGTCTGGGAACAGCGCTGATAACACACTGATGTTTTTAGTTCTTGCTAAGTAATGTTTACTCCAATCAAGGACTTTTTTCAGTCTCATGCTCTGCCAGTGAGGAGGGGCACAGGAAACCGGGAGGAAGCAGAGACAGGACACCTGACCCAAACTAGCCAAAGGGGTATTCCATACCACAGCACATCATGCCCAGTATATAAACTGGGGGTAGTTACCTGGAAGGCCCAGATAGCTGCTTGGGTCGGACTGGGTATTGGTACTGGTGGTGAGCAATTGTATTCTCTCCCCTTGTTATTTCCCTTATCCTTATTGGTGGTAGCAGTAGTGGTTTTGTGTTATACCTTAGTTACTGGACTGTTCTTATCTCAACCTGTGGGATTCACATTCTTCTGATTCTCCTCCCCATCCCTCGGGGAGCTGGGAGAGGAAGAAGCAGGGGCAGGGGGGAGTGAGGGGGCAGCTGAGTGGTTCTGAGTTACCAGCTGGGCTTAAACCACACCATCTAATTACAGTTGTGAGCGTCAGTATGATCACAAGCACATCAGACAAAAAAGTAAAATTAATAATCTTAAAAATAAGAACACATTGTTACTTGCAGAGTATTTTTTGACAAATTCAAAACTAGAGGTGGGTGGCAGTCACCCTCCTGCTGTAATAACGTGGGGTGGTGGTGGGTGCTGAACATTACAAAAGTCCTGGGCAAAGTGGGAGCCAGACACCTACATGAATTAACCAACAAAAAGCACAGTGAAGCAGATGGACAAACCAACCTCTGGAGTTGTGCTCAGCTGTAGAGAAGGGTGGGTCTCAGAGTTCCTTCCTGTGCTCATTGTCCACCCACTTTGAAAACTCCACAAAACGGGACAAATCTATGGAACAATGCATAGTGAAAGAAGCCCACCTGAAGCTGAACACCGTTCTATGGTTGTATCATGAAGAGGAAAAATCCCATCCTATAATTACAAAGTAATTTTCAATTTTGCAGCATCATCGCTAAGACTGGTATAGTAGGGTATATGTGTATTTCTTCTCTTTAACAGTGGTCTTTCATTCAATATCTAACTCAAAGGTTTCTGTACCAGTACACACACTTTCCCTGAGGACTGAACAAATGAGTAAGCTTTGCAGTTGAAGTTATTTCTTTGGTTTTTTTGGATTTTTGTCAATGAATATTAAATGGAATTCACAATGCACACACTAATTCATCAAGTCACAGGGAAGATCCTACAACCACTAAGAGGAAAAAAATGTGCCAAATGCTTCACCTACAAGATCAAATATAAAACTGTATGAAAAATGATTTTTAAAATAATACAACTTGATGCTCCTCTTAAAACAGCAATTATAAATGTGATTTTCCAGTATCAGTAACAAAAAAACCAAACAACTAACTTTGTTGTGTAAGTATGGGACGCTCAAAGAAGGTAAGATGCATCATTATTATTAAGTCGCATATTTGGCACAACAGCTTAACAACTACAAGACATCCAACTGTGTGAGTAAGCCTGTCCGTAACATAAAGCTGAGATAAGTCTGAGTAATTAAGAGAAAAATTTTCATTGTGTCCCAAACATACAACTGTCATAAATTCTAATCCCACACCCAAAAATAGCCAGAAGTGTTAGTAATACAAGTAAAATTGTGAAACCATACTGGGCCAAATTTCTTCATTGTTAGATCATTCTTCTTCTTTATCTCACCGAGAGCTATGACATAAGAAACTTGGTAAGTAAACTACAAAGGACTTTTGTTTCCATATTCTTCGAAATGTTTCTAGAAATACAAAATAAGTAGTGTCAACAAGCATCAAAAGATTCTTTAAAGTTAAGAAAACTGCAAGATATGTTGGGTGGCTGAGGAAACAGGAGGGCACTGGGAGAAAATCTACCTGAAACCTGGCTTGCAAGTTTCTCAACAAAAGTATTAACCATTCTTCCATAGAAAAAAAAGCAAGAAAAGCAAGAAAGAGAACACACCTTTTGATTTCACTAATCCTGCACAGCTATTACAGAAAGACCTCAGCCCTTACCACCTCTTTAATTTTAGGTCTTTATTTGTCAGTTATTGAAATGGCCTATCTGGCTTCCTGGAGGTGACAGTGGTTCAAGTTCCAGTTGCAGACACCAGCCCTTTCCCTTGTTCTGTTCATCTGCTCCAGGGCAGAGCTTTGCCACAGCTCTGCATACTGAGCTGCAGAAAGGCAAAAGGAGGTGGGTCCAGCCACGTTTTCAAGCCAGGAGAGGGAGGCAGCCCAGGCTTACACCATCCATCCATGTAACACAGATATGTATGCTCTCAGGTGAAAACTCCACACTAGCACACCTCAGCACGTCTTATTTTTCTTGGTTGTTGAAAACCATATCCTTCCAAGGTTACTGCCCTGTTTTGCTAATAAGAGAAAACCTCTACCTTTGAACTTGTTCTAGGAGCAAGAATCAACTTGTGAAAATTCAGCTCAAGCAGTATTTCACAGAAAGCAAAGGCCAAACCAGCTAGAACAGTGCAGCTGCACTGACCTAACACACATCACTGATACCAAAAAGTTTCCTATATTAGATACCTCATTAGTTCTTGTTTCAGAATCAATAAATAACTTTTATCAAATCCTATTAGTCACTGACACACCATTCAAGCATAAAACAGACACTACTAAAAACATTCATCAAAATGCAACTTCCACTCTGCTCCTTTTGCAGAACAGCCAGGTTGTGCAAAGTACATTGCTTTCCATCACATCGCACACTGCAATATGAAAAATACAGCTTGAATGCCCCTCAAAATCCTACACCCTGCCCAGTGCTGTGTAACTACTCAAATTCCCTTCAGTTACCCACAGAGCAAACCTCTAGTCTAAGCTGCATTAAAGACACACCTTAAAATTCTACTCTTTTTTAAAGCTTTATTGTAAAAAATATAAATAATCAGACCGTTCTATTGGTTCTTACCTTCAAAAGAGATGCTGATGTCCCGGTTTTAGAGAGTTTTGTTACTGCAGACACTGAGGAGCCGTTTTCTGGTTTGGCTTTGTCAGTTGTTTGAGTTTTATTTACTCCAGGCACTTTGGGCACTGAGCCAACACTCCTGCTTGCTTTCTTCATTCTGGGCTGTCTGTTTATGATGCATTTACAAACAAATCTACAAGCAGAAAGAAATTTTATATATAAAATACAAATGAAAAGCAGTGCTTTTTTTTTTTATAACGCTCTATTTAAGACCAGAAGTCCAGAACAGAAAAGACCATAAATTAGAGCCAAACAGAATGCATGTGACTGACCAATGGGTTTTACTTTTTAAAAGGAATTTTTATCAAGAACCAAGGACTTCCTACAGCTCCACTCTAAATTATAGTGCTTTTTTTCCCAGTTCTCTTTCCACAAATGGAACCGAACTGAGGATATTTTATAAGTGACCCATGTTGCTGAATTCACTCGTTAGCTAGCAAAAGAAAAGCTTATTAGGGCAGCAATGTTCTTTATTTCTGACTGTGGGAAGGCAAATACTGTGGGAGTATTCAGGCAACAGCCTGACTACCAACAACACTGGATCTGAGGAGAGATTACTGCCAGCTTGGTAACTGAAGTACTGAGAGAGAAATAGCAGCTGCAAAGAAAAGAGTAATTTATAAAAACTAAACATTTCAGATTCCCTGAAACCATTTATTATTAAAAATCACACTACTAAACACATGGGATTTCACAGAATTTAGTACTAGTCATACAATTCCAAGGGTTATCCCTAATAAGAAACTGTACATAACCCACCACACTCTAAGGTCCACAGTCAGGACACTGCAGTATCTTCACCTTTGTCTTCAAGGTTTTTCAAAGAGCAGACAATTGTCAATACTGTCAATCTAACCACAAGCAAATAAAGGAAATCCCAGGAAACAAAGCTGACTTTACTCAAACCAGGAGCAGCTGCAGCAGATCCGAACATCACAGTTCTCACAAGAACTACTAATTGATTCTGGAAGACAACCTGAGAAAGGGTAGACCGGCTGACAGCCATAATTTGAAGCACGGACTAAGAGAAAGGCTACACACATTGAAATCTTTTCTCTTGTAAGAGTGAGATAGTTGTCAGCTGTTTTCTTCATCTCCCTTGAGTCAGAAGACTCAGGATGCAAGATTAAGAGGAGGAAACTTCCACTCCTCTTTCAGTTTTACACATTCTGGGTGGAAGTAAGTGATCAGGTACATCTGAACCAATATCCTACAGCTGATTAGAAACATGGAACACAGCTGGTTGTTTCCATCTCTTAAGAAGTGAAGCTTTTCAAAGGCACAAAAAGCAGATGGTGGTTGAGTACAAGATGTGCCACACAAAAACACATTGATCAGGAGTACTAATTCTTTTCAGTTAACAAAATTAACACTATACACCAACACACATTCCTCCTTCCCTATCACCACCTCAGCTGCACACAAGTAATCAGTAAAACTCCAGTTGCCTCCTCAGACCCCCAAGTGCTGTTTACAGAAGCAACAGGAAGTTGCATTTTAAGACACTGAAAATATTTGCTTATAGTTTCCAGATTCCCTTTAGCTCTGAAAGCTGGCAAGAACATACACAGAAAACTTTGTTTGCTGTTGCAGTTTCATCATCAGAATGTCAAAAATGCACTGGTCCTGCCACATGGCTACTAGTAATCATAATGCCTTCACAGAAGATTAAATAACTGAGAGGTAATTGAGATGAGACACTCCTCTAAGAAAACCAAAACCCAAACCAGAAAAGCCCCATGAAGGTAATATGTTTGCTATACACACATAATTTTAAGTAGTACAACTACCTACTAGATTCCAGAAGTAGATGCTAATATTTACACATAGTGCCAAGTTGCCACACTTACATTTCTTGCCATTTTCATGTTTATGAGTTCAACACTTGTGCTTTGATCTTATGCAGTTGAAAACTCAAACTGAAAAGACCAAAGAGGATAGAGCTGTTTAGTAAAGCTGGCATCATTACCATTGAATATTTTGATGTTCTACAGACTACATAAAGAAGTTGCCCACAGCATACTTGAGAAATAAATGAAGTTCCACTGCGCAGTGAAGCTGACTGCATTTAAAAATTACTTCAATTTGTCTTGCAACAAATCCAGCAAATCAGAACCATAACTTTTTGACAGCTCACAGAGCTAGAAAAACAGTGCTACAATGAAGGTTAGTGTATGACTATCATACATTTGGTCAGAGCTTGACAACCTTGTCTGGCAATCTAGATAAAGCCGTAGTTTCAGCTGGCATGCAGACACCCCGCAATGGCCACTTGCAATACACATTTATCAAGTCTACAGAGCACACTCATCAAGTCTGACACACCTTACAACATGCCAGATGCCCACTGCACACATGATCTTTGCACACACAGTAAAAGATCCATACATTTTGGATCCACTTATTACAGCAAGTAGTACAGTAATGTAACCCACTGGATGTATAATCTCAAAGAGAAATACAGGCTAACATTAGCTTTTGCAGTACAAACTATTTACACTCCAAAAAATATATCACAGAGGTTACCAGTGACAGAAGACTGGGCGCAGCCAAATGTTTCTCATCCACAATGGCTTTTCTAAAAACACGTTTTAGAAACACATTTTGTTCCTGAAAACATGCCACAGTATTTGCTTCAGTAACAGTAACTGCATTGCAAAGTGACGTAACTAACTGAAATTCAATAAAGTAACTAAGTATAACCCTTATGTTTCAGCTCAGCACTAGTTTAAAATACCCATAAATTCTACATTGAAAACCACTCTTTGTTATTTAATGAAATTCAAAGGTAGAACCACCTTTCTAAGAAGATACTCAGAGAACAGGGAAGTTTGGGTACTGCTGGTCCTGTTTTTGTTCCAGACAAACTAAACTCTAGTGGTTACTTCTTACTGAAAGAAGATTTTGTAATTATAGTTTTAAAACTCATAAAAAGATACAAGTGAGTCCCACTTAGCTTAAAATAAGGACAAGACATTAATTAGCATTACAGGTTCTTTAAGCAGCTGTTCACTCAGGCTCCTAAAGTGAATTTATGACCTCTCTGGGCAAATTTCTCTCCTCCTGCCTTCTCCAGGAAAGGAGGATGGGGTTTCAGCACTGAAAACAAAGGCATCAATATTGTTGAACTGTAAGTGGAAAATCCCTGCTTCACCCAGTTTCTCAAAAGGCAGATACTGCAGGAAAAGATGACCTTTATGCTTCTAAAGATGAACACATTCCTTAGGAAGACACAGTATTAAGAGTCAACAATAAACTTGTCTCTGCCCAACATTAATTTTAAATAAGGGAAAAAAATGCTCACTAGCCAAATAAAACTTTCTAAAGATTAACACAAAACACTAAATAACACTCTCATTCAAATGAGAGCTAAAATATTCTTTCACTATTGTTTTAAAAAGCAAATACTGCATATGAAGCTGTAGTTCATATTTTACCCTAGGGAGAAAGAAGGAATTACTGAAGATTTCCTTTCCCTTTACACACAATTCCTCCCACCTCAAGAAATAAATTTAAAAAAAAAACCAACAAAACAACAACAACAAAAAAAAAACACAACCAAAAAAGTGAAGTAGGAGCTTAACACTAAGAAGTTGCAGTGTCATTAAGAGTTGTAACTCTATGAAGTAGTCAAAAGAGAGACTTTTGGAGGTTCCTCATCTCTCACTACTAAACAATTTATCAACAGGCACAAGACACTACTGGAAAACACCTGATCAACACCAACTCTACAGCATCAATTATAAAATAAATCAAGATGGAAAACTGACAACACAAAGCCCAAAATATCAGATAGAAAGACTGCATTCCTAAACTAAAATGTAACTATTTGCTCTAACCTGTATCCTTTCCCAGAGGTCTCTCTTTCCACAGCACACATAGTCCCGGAAACAAAAGAGAATCCTGTTCAGGAGCGTGCTCTCCTTGCTCTGTGGAGGCATGTGAAACCAGTCCTGCATTTTATACCAACTGCAAATACAACTCCATAAATAATAATTTAAAAGTGTTTTGCCCAATGGCATGGCTCTGCTCCTTACTGGAAACTGATATGATACATCCACCCAGCCAACATGCAATGCTTTCAGGGTGACTCTTATGCACTCTTTAGAAACCTGAAAGCTAAAGCAGGGAGGGTATGATCTCTAACTGCGATTAAAATAATCTCACCCATTATCTAACAAGCCTATTTATGCCAATATTGCTGTCACAAAAGTAAGGCCCAATTAAAAGAGTACAAAAAGTAGTTTATTATGGCTCCAAGGTAAGTGAGGGTTAAGCACCTCAGAGGTGTTAGTCTTTTGCTTTTGGTTGGAAATACAAGGTATCAAAAGGTACTAAGCAGTTTTATCTATTTAAAAGTTGTGAATTATTACTAAAATTATAAATAATCTTCAAGTAAACTTCTAGGAGTTCCAGAAATATAGAAACAACTGATCCCTCAAAACTGACTATACTGAGCATATTTGAAAAATCACATTTCCTCAATTACAGAGGAAAACAGAAATATTCACATCTAAGAGCAATGGAGTTAGCACACTTTCACCCTCTATTTGTACAGGTTCTTTAGATTTGATGTATTTAGGCTGACAACGTTTGCCCAGATAATAAGGGAATGACATTTTTAGGTCACTTACATAGTCCCAAAAGGCAGAACAGTGAAGAAAAGATTATGAAATACAGCCTCTTCAACCCCCTGTGAAACACAGATTCAGAATCTCCCTAGGCGGATACAAAACAAGCTACATAAGAAGAGACAGAGTTTTCTACATTTATAAGTTCCATAGCTCAAGCTTCCACCCTGCAAGCTGCACAGGCACTCTACCATGATGTCTCTTGCTCAATAGTTTCAAAAACATAATCCATTAACCACCAGATTCCACAAGCCCAAAGCAGTGCATCTGTTTTATTGCTCAAGATGAAGACATCAGTTTTAGTGACCTGAAAGTTAGCTGATGCTAGAGGGTTATTTAAGATACCAAGGATAACAGGAAACTGCATGGAATCAGAAAAGAGACTAACTAGACAATAAAAACAGCAAAGAAACTTAAATTTAGATAAATAAAAAGCAATCTAACTCTTGGGGAAAAGCTTCATATATAAATGTGCTCTCAACTCATCAACACTGTTCATCAAGACTTCAGTGTTTTGATTCACAGCTTCATTAAACTATCAGTTTTTATTCCAGCAGTGTTTGGAATAAGGCAAAACACCCCAAACAAAAGGACACCAAAGCAATTCCAGGAATTATTAAAGAAAGGAACAGGGAACAATTCATAAAATACAAATATCTCACTCAACAAGTCAAATTTTTGCCCATCTACCCACAGCTTAATTGATTCATGCAGCTCTGGTCTCTCCACCTGAAAAAACCAAATGATTCCCTATAGACCTGGCAAAGTTTCAGCAAGGGGCAAAAATAAGATCAAAGGTATATAATGTATAATAGCTCCCATGAGACATCTCACAGGGAACACAACAAAAGCCTATCAAATCTTGGAAGATACTGAGAAGGCAGACGGGGACTGGCTGTTAATCATCTCTTCACTAAAAGACCAACAAATGAAGTCAGAGCCAGGTTCAAATTAAGAAAAAATGAGCCATATTTTTAATGAAGATTGAAAGAATGCTGTGCCTGCACACAGAGTGAGTGGAAGAGGAGATTGGACATGCACAAGGTAGAGAAATTCCCTAATGGATGCTAAATAGGTGAGCACAAAGGACCCAGAAACCCCTCTGAGCCAAAAATAATTGCAGGGTGGGAAAGCAGGCAGAGCAGGAGGGAAGGCTTCAGGTTTGGTTTTTTTTTCCTGAGGCATCTGTTCACATCCCAGTACCAGGTGGGATGGATCCCTGCACCAGCCAGGGCCATGTCTGCTCTGTTCTTGTACAGTGAGTAAAATATACAGATGTCAGTGATTTATGGATGCTGCAATTTTGGAACAACTGAAGCAGGTAGTTATTTACAGAGGAATGGCTTCCCTATTACTTTCTATCTTAAAAATTCAATAGGGTTTTTAGTTTTCCATTACAAGTTGTGGAATTCCGACAATAGAAATTCTACCTTTTTAAGTTACGTTTTCAAGCCACATTTGCTCTTGCTACTTCTCTTTTAAACCGAGGGGAGGAAAGACCAGAGCTTTGGGCAAGAATTGGCTGTTATATACCTAAATTTCTCTACTCCTTCTTTGGAGAAAACTTCAGAGCTTCAACTGCTGTGAGCAATGTGTAACTGTTGCAATACTTAACATTCCAGACAAGTGACAGGAACATTTACAGAGCTCCTAAACTTACGAACTGTGCTCTAAAAGCCTTTTCATAACAAAATTAAATAACGTAGTCTTGTTTTCAAGCTCCTACTTTAAACTATTTCAAACCACTGCTGAGGAAAGAAAAAACAACTAAATCCAAGTGATTCTTCTAGCATGGGGAATCTGTTCCACATGGAAGGGGAGCACTGTCTCAGGACTTAATTCCTACATTGAGTGCACCTTCAGAAGCTTCTTAGGGTTTTTTTTATTACAGTTTTGTATACCAGAACAAAAAATCACCTTATTGGTATCCATCATGAGCTGATTAAAAGATGTTCTAAGCAGCCTAAGTACCCTGGAGCATGCTCATTAACTATGCTGCTCATGCTATAGATGAGAATACCATCCATGTTACTATTAAGCAGGTTTTGTTTCATTGGTGTAGATAATACCCATAGTGGAAAAAAACCCTTACATGTGAAGGCAGTCTGTGTGTCTCATACAGTGCAAGCTGACATACCTCAACCAGCAGAACATGGTAAAGGAAATAGAAGAGCAAATACAATATGTAGAATATTAATTATGATAAATATGAAAGGACACTAAAACCTGGTTTCACAGAATCACAGAATCCTAAGGGTTGGAAGGGACCTCAAAAGATCATCTAGTCCAACCCTCCTGCAAGAGCAGGGTAACCTAGAGTATATCACACAGGAACTTATCCAGGCGGGCCTTGAGTATCTCCAACGTAGGAGACTCCACAACCCCCCTGGGCAACCCGTTCCAGTGCTCTGTCACTCTCACAGTAAAGAAATTTTTCCTGATGTTCACGTGGAACCTCCTATGCTCCAGTTTACACCCACTGCCCCTTGTCCTAAGGGGCAATGGTTTGGTTTGTCTTTTTTCACTCCTTTTGCTAAACTTCACAGTTGTACCCAAATGTCACACCATGCACTAACAGATGATGTAATATATTCCTCTTTCCGGGATATTAATTACTCTGTTTAGATTTTAGACATAGGCTCAAACAAACTTGGCAGAAATATCGGCCTTCTCTGTAAAACCCTTAGGTTAAAATTTCAACAAACCAGAACCATCTCATATTTTGGTACTGTAGGTTTTCTGGGGAAAAAAAAAGAACCACAGTAAATTTCCCAGCTAAAGGACTAGCCAGCTTTAACTAGGAAAAGCAGATAGTCCAAAAAAATGATACTTGGTCTGTTAACCACATTAACTGAAAGTGTTGTTTATCATTATTCCAAGCATGTTCTACAGTAACTGTTATTACAAAAATCAATAACCCTCCAGTTACAAAGGTGTATTTAATGTCATACAAACCTAAGCATATACTGTATTCCTTAACCAGATTCTCCTGCACACGTGGAAATTTCCCTTGCACTGCCAGAGAAGTACTTTCAAAACCAGCAATGTACAATTTTAAGACCAGGGAATTTGTCAGAATACCACAAGAGGTGCACAACTAATACAACAGCTTCCTGTTCAAACTGACTAGCTCAGTA